ATTTAATTAGGATATATAGAATAGTTTTAGAAACTATTCTTAGAATATAATAAGAGGTCTTTTATTACCTATAACTACTTATAATTTATAAATAACTAAGGTTAGGTTTATTTTTAAACTATAGTTTATAGGGAGTTATTAGTTTATTATTCTTTATTATAAAGGTATACTATTAAAGAGTAGTATAGGCCTATATTATAACTAGTTAGAATTTAATTAGTACTTTTAATTAATATATAGTAAAAAAAAGCTTATCTTATAGTATCCTATTCCTAATCTTAATAATACTATTCTATTAATACTAATTAATAGTAAAATACTATAGGTATATATTTAAGGAAATATAAGAGTTCTTAAACTAGGTTATAATATTCTCCCCTCTTTAATCTAGCTAGATAAAGTAATATTTATATTCTAAATATTCCTATATCTTTAGGAAATTTAGTATTATATTAGGTAGCTAAGATTTCTTTTTAATAGGGAATAGCTAATATATTCTAGTATAATTATTAATAATAATAACCTAGTATTAATCTTTCTTCTAGAAGGTAGGTAAGGTACTAATAATATTAGTATAAAGGCTCTTAAGAGGATATATTCCTTTCTAGAATAGATAAATATAGGGGTTTTCTTTTTATCTCCTTATAAGATAGCTAATATAATATTTATACTAACTAATAGGCTTTATATTAATAAAGATAAAGATAAGTTTAATAATATTCTATTCCCTTAGATATTTAAGTTAATTATACTATAGCTTATACTTTAAGTTATCTATTATATAGGCTAATATACTAATACTTAAAGTAATATAGTTAATTATATAGACTTTAGTAGTCTATTAGGTAGTAAGAATAACCCCTTAATTCTTTATTATAATTACTCTTTCTTTATTAAAAACTACTATAATATCTTTAGCTACTAGGTAGCTAATAGAGAATAGGCTTATTAGGGTACTTTCCTATAGAATACTATTATATAATTCTAAGGTAATCCTAGGGCTCTTTATAATAATAATAACTATTTTATAAGTAGTAGGTTTTAAAATAATACTAATAAGACCTTAAATACTAAAGCTTAAGTAAGGGGATAGGTCTTTTATAAGTTCTTTATAGCCTAAGATATAACTAAATATATTAAAGTTAAGTAGTATTAGTTTTTAATATAATAATATAAAAAGATTAAAATTTTATCTAGGTTTAATACCTATAAAAGTACTATCTACCTTAAGTTAACTAAAGTATTATAGGCTTTAAGAAATAGTAAAAGTAAGTTAGGCTAGCTTAAAGTTTATAAAAGGACTTATATACTATTTAAAGTTAACCTTTTTATATTTATACTTACTATTATATTTTTTAGTTAGGTATTAATACTTTTTATTTTATTAAAATAAAGAGGGTAGGTTTATTAGATAGAGTTTAGAGTATAGCTTTTAATATTACTTATTAAAATAACCTAAAAGCTTATAAAAGGAATAGAAGTACTTAATAGTATTAGGTTTTATTATACTATAAAAAAGATACCCTCTAGTAGTTATTATAATAATTAAAGTAGTTTATTATTTAGACTTTTTATTATTTTATTATTTAAGCTTAATAAGGTTAATTATAATTATAACTACCTATATAAGTATAGTTATAAGAGTTATAATAGTATTATTAGTCTATTTTAGAATAAAATAAAGGGTTATCTTAATAGTATAGGAGTTAAACTCTTTATTAAGACTATTAATAAAAAGATATACTATTAAAGCCTTAAGGACTTTAAAGTCTTTATTAAGAGATTACTACTTAGCTTAAGTATTAATAAGTATTATAGTAAGTTTCTTAATAGATCTATATTAAGTAAAGGTTAATATTAAGAAATAGTTAGTTATAGTTTAGAAAATAGTAATACCTTTTAGTTTAAAGTACTTCTTAAAGGCTATAATTATATTTAATACTATAACCTTATTTTTAATAAGGCTATAAGTATATTCTTTAAGGTTTATATTAATAAAAGTAATAGTATAAACCTAGTCTTATATTTATTTTTAAATAAGATCTTTTATAGTTTTATTATTATAAGCCTTAGTTAAGATAAAGCTATTTCCTTAGCCTTCTAATAATAATCTACTAAGATTATTAAGTCTTAGTATATTAATTATTTTTAACTTTTATTTAACCTAATTACTTTTAAATTTAAGCTTTAAGATATTTAATACCTTCTTTAGTATTAAAGATATAATATTAGATAATAGAGTAGGTAATAAGGCTATAAGAAGATCTTAGCTTATATATAGGAGTTAAGTTACTAATAGTACTATTTACTAAGAAAGTAGAACTTTAAGATAATAAAGAGGATAATAAGCTAAGTATATAGTCTTTCTTTTTAAATTAAATACTTTATATTTATTTAAAGGTAAGAAGTATTTAAGTAAATAATAAGGAATTCTTCTTACTAAGTAAGTAGTTACTATATACCTTTTATAATAGTTAAGACTATAGATTATAGTAAGTAATCTAGTAGGTATATTTAGGACTATAGATTATAGTAAGTAATTTAATAAATATATCTATTTAAAAGCTATAACTATATTAAGTAAATTTATATTATAATATATATAAAATAAGTATATAGAGTCTATATATAAATTATTAAGTAAAGTATAATAGTAGAATTTCTTTTTCTTTATATAGAATTTTTATAGTAGATAGACTTATTAGATATACTCTAGATTAGCTAGAGTTTAGGGTCTTTCCTTTTCCTATATATAAAAAGTTATAAATTTCTTAAGTTTTATAGTAAATATTAGCTTATATAGATAGTAGGTAAATTTAGTAAGAAATTAATACTTTCCTTTATTTTATTAATAGCTTTTATAATATAAGTACTATTAGGCTTATAACCTATTAAGACTAATAGGGTATATATAAGGTAAGAGGTAAAGTTATTATATTATATAACTTTTATCTAGTTATATAGTATAGGTAAGTGCTAAATATACTAGGTAATAGGAGATTGTTCTTCTAGCTTTAGAGCTGCCTATTATTAAGCCTAGCTTATAATATATCTTCTCTCTTTAGTATACTAATAAATAGGCTACTAATTCCTTAAATAAGCTACTACTTATAAGCCTAGGCTAAAATATATATACTAGCCCCTTTTATATAACTATATATACTATAGTTTAAACCTATAACCCTAGGTAGTATTATTATATATAATAGACTAGCCTTAGAGGGGCTTTAGGGGTAACTAGCCTTATAGCTATTAGGGGCGTAAGCCCTAATCCTCTTACCTACTTAATTATGGAAGGTAAAAGGATTCGTAACAACAATACTGGCACGATTATTGTCTAGTTGCACCTATAAGGGTTCTCTTCTATGCCGGCCACTATAGAAGGCACTGGGCCAGAGCCCAGCCCGTAACAACTAAAATATTAAGCTTTAATAGTCTAATAATTTATTTACTAAGTAAAAAGTATTATATTACTTTAGAGGGGTTATGATTTTAATTAAATAGAGGCGCTATATAACGGTACTATAATCTTTCTAAATAAGGCCGTGGCTAGTGTCCTATTTATAATAATTAGTATGCTCGTATCCGACAAATAGATGCATACATTGCAAACCTGCTCGATCGGAACTGGCAATCGGCTGGTGCAGCGTACCCCTGAAGGGTAAGCCCCAACAACTACTAGGTAGCTAGATCTCATTTTCAGCCTGAACCAGTATTACTTGGCATACACCGGTACAGTATTAATACAACCAGGCCTAGACACTAAAAAGAAATAGGACTTTCGGGCCATTTTCAAAACAGGACGAGTATCAATCCAGCTTTCTAGCGTTCTTTTATGTGTTTTCAGCGCGCGGCGCATAATTTCTTGCGCCTGGGAGGGGCACGACGGGCGGCGAGCGCGGCGAGCGGTGCTGTCGAATGCGAAGTTTAGTGGGAGCCAACTTGGCCGCCAGTCGGCCAACTAGAAGGAAATGACGCTATCCAGGAATTCCAGGAAGCCCAAGACTTGATTGAAGAATCCTTTGGCTCTGATAGGTGGCGCAGAGAGGCACGAAGATTGAGACCGACCCTGTGAGCAAGGACGAAAACCAGCTGCCCGACCGCCAACAGACAGTCAAGCACCCGCCAGAAGTCTGAGCTTCGCTGGTAGCGATTGCCACGGGACATACGAACCAGACATACGAGACCACAACGTGGCATGACTCACATGACGACCTTTAGCATTGGATAGCCGAGTCATATGTCGAGGATTATGAAGGGTATGGCGAGTGCCTCATGCTTGCCTGGTATCCCGAATCGAAACACGCCGCACGAATGAGCTCCAATAGTTTCTCCGCACCCTCACTGGAAAGAGGAGGCAAAGGGCGAGATGCGATACGGCTTGTTGCGGCACATGCCTTGCACAACTGTGGTGCCAAAGCTTCTCTGCAGCGAGTGGAGAATGGATATCGATGGGAGATACAGCCAATGCTCTGAAAACAACAAATCGTTCTCTTTGCTATGTGTTTCGTGACGAAACTACTGAAAAACTTTTGAGGACAGCGCAGTAATGTAGACAGGTAGCACTAACCCATCGTCTTCAGGTAAACTAGGCTGGTCGCGTCCTTGAAGTGCAATTGTAATACGTAGACAAGCCGCTATGTCTACGAATCAGGAAGCTTCTTTTCCCTCCAGTCAGAGACGAGAGGATGATGATGGGGACGCCTGCTGGAGATCCAGCGCGACTTTACCACGACATTGTTGCGGCGTATAACGAGACCATAGCTCAATTATAGCAGTTATTTAGATTCACCATTTGCGTTGGAATTTTTCAAGGAGGCCAAAAGTGTTTCGGCAGGTATCATGATGAGCGACGAAATTTCCATGATGCTTAGCAACGTCGGTATTCCAAGCCAACCATCCCCCTCTACCCCAAACAGGCCCTACGGGGCAAGCCTAATAGACAACATCTTTACTTACACACACTTTGTCATACATTTATCGTCACACGCTATCCGTTCTCACAGCAGCAAGAGTCCGCCGAGCGCGGCGAGGAGCCCAGAGCCCGCCTGCGCCGCGGCGGCCGCGTTCTTTGTGGGCGAGGCCGAGGCGCTGGCGCTGGTGGAGGAGGCGCCGCCGCTGCCGGTCGTCGAGGTGGCGTTGTCGCCGCTGCCGCTGCCGCTGCTGCTGACGAGCGCGGAGAGGGCCGTGTCGCTGCTGAGGTTGACGGTGATGGTGGCGTTGGTGCACACGCTGGGGGCTTTCTGGGAGCCCGAGACAAAGTTGACAACCGAGCACTACGGATGCCGTTAGTACGGTGCGTTTCCATTCGAGTCTTGATGCCAATAGCTTGGTTCGCGGGCCCACGTCGAGCGAAGCGAGGACAAAAAAAAAAAGAGAGAGAGTTCAACAAACGTACCTGATACAACAGACCATCAACAGCAGACGAGACAATGGACAAGACGCCCTTTTTGCCCTCGTACTTGGCCGGCACGGTCAATTGGGGGAGACAAAAATCACCCAGGCCGCTCTGGAGCACAATGGGGTAAATCTGCTCCCAGCCGGTGCCGTCAGAGGAGGGTTTGTCCGAGGTGGTGACGCGGAAGAGCCACTTGCTCTGGGGATGGCTGAGACGGACGGCGACGGCGTCGCCGCCAATGTGGAAGTCGGGGATGGAGGAGGCGGCGAGGTCCGGGGTGAAGCCGCCGCAGGGCGCCGTGTCTTCCTTTGCGTCCTCGAAACCAATGGTGGGAGGGTACTTGAGCTGGAAGTGGGCGGTGGTGAGGCCGGCGAGGGCGGCGAGCAGAGGGAGGGTAGAGGAGCGCATTGTGGTGGTGGTGCTGTTTGGTGTTGGTGGTGGTGCTGTTTGGTGTTGGTGGCGGTGGTGAAGTGAGTGAGTGACGGGGAGCAAGAAGGGCGAGAAGTTGATAGGACAATGGGGTCGGTGGAAGACGGGGACAGGACAGCCTTTTATTGAGCTTGGCGGAGCTATGCAGAGTGGTCGGGAAACGAGCCCGTGGTTTCGGATCTGCTGGTGATGGGAATCGACGTGCAAACGGGCACAGACGGCGATGGATGACATTGATGCGCACGCACCTTTTGTCCTTTTGTCTCCTTTTTTCTGTCGTTTGAAACCCAAAATAAATATATTAAAAATGCAATAATTCCTCTCATATACTTGCTATATTGCTCTTTTATTCATTCCATCTTCAAGACGCAGTTCAGATGACGCCTACTGGCACCTTTTCCGGCCTGTCTCTGCCGGCTTGGCTTGCCCGCATTGTGGCGCCACAGCTTCAGCCCGCTCCGGACCAACCAACCAGAGCGCTCAACGGCCCGGTCCAAGCCACAGTTTTTTTGTGGTGAGAATGTTTGAGCAAGTTTTTATGCTTCTTGACTTTTATTGCCGACGCCCAAAACCCACATACTTTTCTTCTTGGCCTCGCTGCGCTCGAATGCGGCCTTTTTTCATACATGTTTTATTGATCAAGTAGTTTCAGCCTGCTCTGGGCCAATCGCCGACGATCCATTATCACCCCCCCCAATTCCCCAGCTCCGTCATGTCTTGCCTTGTCTCACGGAACACCGGCATACCACCAGCCCTGACTTGATCCTCGCATATGCTCGTCCTCTCGTCGCTTCAGTCACGTTGATGCTCCTCATCTTGTTCCCTTTGGCTTCCCTCTTGCCATCCGTTGCACAGTCGACAACCCGCATGCTCACCACCGCCGGCACCGCCGCCGCACCACCGCCATCATGGACATGATGGGCGGCATGAACATGGACCACCCAGGCATGGGCACCGACATCAACCACGCCTTTTCCCGCGACTACTGGTACATAACCGCCGGCGTCGTCGGTCTGCTCGCCGCCATACGCGCCGTCAACGCCTACAGCGCCCACGTCCGGTATTGTCTAGCCGCCCCCCCGCCTCACCACCACGCCAACCAGCCTCCTAACTTGCATACATAGAATCGCATCATGTCGCAATCCCGCCATCCAGCATCCTACCCGTCCCGACGGCCGCCTCTCCCAGGCCTGGGCCACCGCCACCGCCGTCGTCCGCGAGATGGGCCACCCGCAGTACGTGCTCCGCGGCCGCGCCGTGCGCTGGGCAACCCCCCTCCCGCTCGGCCGCATCCTCGCGCTGCTCTGCTACTGGGCCGTCATCGTGTACTTCATGTCCTGGCGCGTCGTCGCCAACGATCCCACGTACTGGGAGCGCATCGGCTTCCGCAACGCCTGGGTCACCGTCTGCCAGCTGCCCATGCTGTACCTGCTCGCCATGAAGTACAGCCCGCTCGGCTTCCTGGTCGGCACCAGCCACGAGCGCATCAACTGGCTGCACCGCTGGGTCGCCCGCACCATGTTCGTCACCGCCACCGTCCACGGCTTCCACTTCTGGACCGAGTGGGTGCGCGCCGACTTTGTCCAGTACGAGCTCGAAATCATGCCCATGGTCAAGTACGGCCTCGGCGCCTGGGCCGTCCTGCTCTGGTCCGTCGTCGTCGGCTTCGTCCCCGTCCGCCGCCTGGCCTATGAGATCTGGCTGTTACAACACATCGTCTCGGCCGTCGTCATGCTCTGGCTCGTCCACGTCCACGTGCCCGCCAACGCCCGCCACTTTCTCTGGATGGCCGTCGCCTTTCTCGCCGTTGACCGGCTCGCGCGCTGGGCCAACCTGCTCTGGCAAAACGTGCAGCTGCGCCGCGCCGCGTCCGCCTGCGAGCGCCGCACCCGCATCGGCCACCGCGTCGTCGCCCGCGCCGTCGGCGACCATACCACCGTCCTCACCATCAAGGACGTCCACTTCCGCTGGTCCCCCGGCCAGCACATCTACCTCTGGGTCCCGCGCCTCGGGCCGCTCGAAGCCCACCCGTACACCATTGCCTGCGCGCACAAGCTGCGGGGCACATGCTGCTGCCACAGCATCCAGCTCATTATCCGCGCCCACGGCGGCTTCTCCCGGCGCGTCCACAAGTACGCCGCCGAGAACCCCGACGCCGAGCTCACCGGCCTCGTGTCCGGCCCGTACGGCGCCCCGGCCAACTGGGACGCCTACGAGCGGCTCGTGCTCATCGGCGCCTCCACCGGCGCCAGCTTCGTCGTGCCGATCCTCGAAGCCGTCGCCGCCAAGAGCAGACAGGACACGTGCGTGCGCCGCATCGACCTGGCCGTTATTGCAAAGTCGGCCGCCGAGACGCAGTACTACCTGGCCCGCGCCAAGGACGCTGCCCAGGCCGCGCACGCCAACGGCATCGACATGCACCTGCACCTGGCCATTACCGGCGACACCGCCGCCGCCGCCGCGCGCGACAAGACCACCAGCCTGCTGCAGGGAGCCGCGCGCGACAGCTCTGATATAGAGGCCGACGAGAAGCGCGCCACCGTGCACAGGACGTCGGCGGACCGCGCCAGCCGCTCGGACAGTGACTCGCAGCAGGCCACGCACGTCGTCAGGGAATACGCCGCCCGGCCGGACATTGAGGCCCTCATCAGGGAGCCCGTCGAGGACGCCTGGGGCGAGACGGCCGTTGTCGTCTGCGGCGGCAAGGAAATTGTCGCCCGCACGCGCAACTGCGTCGCCGCGCTGAGCGACGAGCGCGCGGTGCACAAGGGGACCGGCGCGCAGGGGATATACCTCCACGTCGAGGAGTATGCATTTTAGCGAGATGTGGTTTGTCCATCGCATGTTATTCTACACATGGCATATACCTCGGTTTAGGAGGATGCATTTAACAGGATGTGGCTTTCATGGCACATCATTTTACACAGGGGTTATCCCTCGACATTATTGTAACGAGATACGGTTCGTGCATGTCATACCATTTACGCATTTAGGAGCCAACAGTACTACTTTATTGCACCTCTAAGCAAGTGAGACGGTAGAGGTTAGATTACTTGTTTATAAAGGCGGAAGCCGTAATAGCCTTAGAATTATATGCAATTACAATACCCAAGTTCCACGAGACCAGGCAGCCGATTTACCCTGTCAAGTTTCTGTTCTTCGCTCCACCAACAAGCACTTACTGGCCAGTAGCGTAGAACTAGTTAATACTTCCAAAAGCGACTTTCTAGATACGTCTGATTCTGCCCTGCCAGATGATCCAAATGTGCTTCAACCACCAGCTCGTAAGCTGGGATAATCAGGAGGTGGCACCTCATCCGGCCGTCACGTGTGCTGCTGCCTGGCAAAGGCAGGATCATGACTGCATTACATGTGTTTTTGTCTAGCGGCGATATTACTAAGTAGTTTGTGAAAACACTCTGGTAATGAAATTAATTTGCTATTAGTGCGATGGTGGTAACAAGAGAGAAAAGCGAACCCGATTCCTTCAGTCAAAATCACCAGAATTTCACCGCGACTATATATGGTTACAAGAGAGAGAAGCAGCCAAATTGATTCATAGCCAACATCACTAAAATTAACAGCGCAGGGTGGTCTCTTCCCATCCATCGTCTCAAAACAAACAGCCCCTGTCCATCCCAGCCACGCTTGTCCCCTCCTATCCCAAACAGCCTTAGTTGCCGTCGTCCGGGACGGGCTTGTGATCGACGATCGGGAAGGGGTCGTCCGCCGCCGCCCGTCGACGGGTGCCCGGCACGGGAGTGTGGTCGATGATGGGCATGCCCCAGAACGCCTTGGCAATGGTGCTGTCCGTCTGCGGCTCCGTCTCCACGGCGCGGCGCGCCTCGGGCACCGGCACCTTGTCGACAATGTGCATCGTCGGGCTGCGGCGGCGTACCGGCGTGTGGTCAATGATGGGCATGCCCCAGAAAGTGCGCGAGGGCGCGTTGCCGTCGACGGGGAGCGCGGTGCTGGTGGTGCCGGCTAGGCACACCATGGCGAGAGTGGCGGACAACTTCATGCTGCGATGCGCGGGGGTTGGATACGAGAGGCAGTTTTTTGATGATGGCTTTTTTTTCTCTGTTGGCAGGTGAGGAACACGGCGGCGAGACTCCTTCTTATCTGTTTTTTGAGGTGCGAGACATGTCTCGCACCAGGCGAGTCTAGACGGATCCAAGCACCATCGTTGGAATGAGGTCCTCGCCATGGGCCGGTCGGTGTCTTGGATCCGGCCAACCAGCGCGTAGGCGTGCAGTTGAGGCGTCCAGGCACCGGAGACATGTCGCCATTCATGGCTATTCATAGTGATGTTTAAGACAGTCGTGCGTGTATGATCCTTGCCAAGTCATCACAGGATTGCGCGAGGTAAAGGTAAAGGTGGTATGCGGGCGAGCAAGCGCCGATCGCTCGGCCTTCCATCAGGGGCACCAGCCCGACACCGTACGAATAGCTAAAGAACCAACAGGGTAGTGCTGTGCACAGGTGATGAGGCGAAATCCGTCCCCCACTGATGCCACACGCAATTGTCTGTTTTGAAGGTAAAGCATCCAAGCAGATGTTGTGCTCGCCGAGCTCCAAGCAGAATCAGACGTAAACCACAAGTTGCTGCGGCGCGTGATTGGATGGAAGAGGTGTCGCTCAACGTCATTTTGCCATTGTCGAGATGCCATGACTTCTTAGCTCATTTTGCAGCCATCATATGAGCAACGGGAAGATGGAGAGATGAACAATGTTGGGCAAGCGTGCCCAGGCACCTTGTTCGCAAACTCATGCGGAATACACGGCTTTACAATTTCTTTATGTTCTTCGAATAGTCTCAAGAATAGCCTTCTTTGGGAGGAGCTTGAGAGAACGTTGAATGTGATTGTAGGGTAATATGTGAGTGAAAGCCTAGAGTCAAGTGCATTGATTGGTAGTGTTAGGGATCCAGGATATCAGTGGGTTCAATTTTAATAACCAGATATTATCTTCTAAAATGAGGTGGGTTTCTTTCAAATAAGTGTCCGTGAATAGGATACGTGGCAGTGTTATTGGCACTAGAACCCCTCGACGCATTAGTTTGGCGGCAGCTAACTACTGATAACCGCCGTCGTTGACCATCACTAGCCTCGTAAACGGATCGCTTCTGTTGCTCCGCCTGATTACAGTTCGCCGGATCGATTTAGTGCTGTAGCGATTGGTCGCCAGGCCCTGCATAGAGGAGCGATGATGCCAAAGTTTCGACGGCGAGGAATGCAAGCATTAGTCAATGAGCTAGAAGGATTTGACCGCACGTACTAGGAAGTCAAGCAAAGATGCAGGAGCTGCGAGATGCAGGAGCTGCGCTCTTCAAGCAGCGCAAATATGGCGGAGAGCAAGTCGGTCAGATCAAAGAGCAGGAACCAAGAACAAGAATACATCCCCCCCCCCCCAATACTGAGACGATTTCCCTGCTAATCCTACGCATATATAAATTATAACGTATTTCTTCTTTAGCAGCGAAGCAGACTGACAAGACGCACACGATCGAATGAGGTACATGGAGTGCGGCAAAGTATCGTCAGTATTCAACTATTCAACCACTATAGAAAGTCCTGACGACTTGGGTACCTGATATCTCGGATTTCTCGAAAGCAGTAGCCTGGAAATCTGTACAATCTATTATGTTTTTTTCTCCTTTTCAATCACTAATTTGCTCCTTTTATTACTATCCCTCTCTTTTTTGTTTTATTCTCTCTATTTTGATATTTCTTTGATAATATTTCCCATTACTTTATCCTTCCTGTTCTCCATCAATATCATGTATTTAAATACTGTAGAAATTTAATAGTGATACTTTCGTCATTGAATTCTGACTAATTAGTATTTAGAGATAGCTGTGATACCAAGTATTGAGTACTCGCTTGACCACGTGAATCCGCAGCTTAGCGCTGGTTCCCACTACTAACACCCCACTCTTGCCATCTCCTGCTCAAACCAGGTAGTCCTACCTTAGTTATCTCCAAGAGCGCCTGTTTGCTACCTTATGAACCTTGCGATTGCAAATGACACCAGACCTGCATTGCGCACATCCTTCTACCAAACCTGATGGTCCTACACTCCCCTTTCCACTAGTCCCTCTGCCCACGGCGCAATGGACGATATAATGCCGTCTTCACCGAGGCACGCCCGCCCCTCGGGCATTGCCTCGGGCACTGCTAATGACAGCGTTCCGTCGATTTGTCGAATCTGTCGAGGCGAAGCGACCGAAACCGAGCCGTTATTCTATCCCTGCAAATGCAGCGGCAGCATCAAGTTCGTCCATCAAGAATGCCTGATGGAATGGCTCTCGCATTCCCAAAAGAAATACTGCGAGCTTTGCAAAACATCCTTCCGATTCACAAAACTATACTCGCCCGACATGCCTCAGTCGCTGCCCGTTCACATCTTCCTCGAGCACATGGCCAAGTACATATTTCGGAATGTCGTGGTTTGGCTTCGTGCCGTCCTGGCTGTTGGCATCTGGATTTGCGGCCTGCCGCTCTCCATGCGAGCAGTCTGGTCCTTCATGTTCTGGATCAGCGACGAAGGGCTAGGCGGCTCACTTTCGACCCTTCGAGGCGGTCAGGCTTCGTGGGAAGCTTCTCTATACAGTGAATTCTTCGGTCAATGCTCAGCAAATCCGCTCGTCGAATCCGCTACAACAACTCTGGCCCAAGCCGCGACAATGATAAAGAATCTGCCAGGCGATCTTAGTGGCATTCCAAAGTTCGCCGTCAAGTCGATCGGATACGCCGCAAACACCATCAACGGTACGGGCTCCTTTCGATCGTACAGAGACGAGAACGGCACAATCACGGTGCTCTACGAGATTGACTCCCCGTCTGCTTCTCTGCTCAGTAACGTCACATTTCTTCGCAATTTGACACAGAGCCCTAGAGTGAACAGAACAGTCATGTCCATCATCGAGGGGCAGATCATCACCATTCTCGTCGTCATCTGCTTCATTTTGATCATCCTGGTGCGCGACTACGTCGTTCAGCAACAACCAGAACTGAACATGCGCGCCGCGTTTGCTGATCAGGAAGAGGCTGCTCAAGTAAACGCATTTGACGCTGGCCCAGCGCAACCTGCCGCACTGGAAGTAGCTGCAGACGATGGCGGTCATGAAAGCGATGATGATATCTTCCCAACATACCCCCGTGACCCCCGTGAATTCATCCTACCCCCCGCCGAGGTCCACACTCATCGCGATTTACATGAGATGGATGAACAGGAGGCTATCAACCAAGTGTGGGCCATGACTATTCGTCCCGGCATCTTCGTCCCCGGCCCTGAGGCTGAGGAGGAGCCGTCGCACGTCATGGAATATCTTCGCATATTTCGACGTGCTCATGGCGATCATGATGAAATTCTGCGAATCATCGAGCAAGAAGATACCGCGGGCAGACTTCGCTACTGGGCTGACGCTACTCGCCGAGCCATATCCAATAATAGGCAAGACGGATCGACTAACCAGGAATCTGCCCTTGCCAGCTCGCAAAATATTTTTGATCGTCCAGACACCCCGGCAGCATCCTCCAGCCATTATGTTGAGTCCCCATCCCGCGAGACGAATCGACGCCACCAGCAAAGATTCGAACCTGCGACGCCCGTCTTCCAACAGGAGTCTGCAGTCGCAAACTCCACATTCGCCAACGGGCTACGACCCCGGGCCTCATCAGAGGGGCCCAGTCGCTCCAACTCGATACACCCTCTGGCGAATAACAGCTGGACCTTTGAAGGACTGCCAACCGATGAGCCTGAGTCCACCCACCGCAAAGAAGCTGCGCAAGATACGTCCGATTCTCCACATGGCGAAGGAATATTCGGTGACTTTGATGATTCAAACGACACCACACACGACTCTGTACACTCACCCACCATCAACCATATGCAGGGACAACCATTTGAGCTAGACTTGAGCTTCAATGTTGCCCCCGAACCCGAAGCCACTGCCCAATCACTTCAGACTGACACCGCTGTTCAGACTGACAGTGCTCCCCAGACTGCAACTGCTGGTGCTCTACCAGGTGCCGTCCCTGCCAACAACGCGGAACCAGTTGGTTTGGTAGGCCGGGTGGCCGATTTCATGTGGGGTGACCTCGATCACCACATCGACGAACAAAACATACAAGCTGCCGCAGAGCATGATGCTGACGACGATGCTTGGGTCGATGTCGTCGACGGCGATGTCGGTGCAGACGACGCTCAACTCGGCGCGGACGATATGGAAGATGCTGACGACTTTGACCAAGAAGCTATTGACGAAATGGAGGATTTTGAAGGCGTCATGGAGTTGATTGGCATGCGTGGTCCTATCGCTGGTCTGTTTCAAAATGCCGTCTTTTGCGCAGTCCTTGTCTCTGTTACCATTTTCGCGTGTATATTTGTCCCCTACAACATTGGCCGTGTCACCCTCTGGCTTATGGCAAGCCCCATGCGTCTTGTTCGTATGATCGTCGAGATTTCGAAGCTCATTCAAGATGCTCTTGTCATGGGTTGCGCTTTCGTGTCTTGGGGTATCGTTAATTTGGTGGAAATGGCCACCATCTTCTTGCCCAGTAGCGCCATCTCCAAGGTCGTTTCAGCTCGAAAGGCATGCTGGGCCCTTTGGGTTAACGCTGGGTCTAGGATCTTTGATTATTTGTTCATGGATTTCCCCATGTCGGCAACGGAGATTCAAAACTTTTCAGCCATCAGCCACAGTGCTCTTTTAAGCCTCAAGGGACAAGCTTCTCGCTCGTTTGGAGTCCTTCAACACCTTGGCTGGACGATTTACGCGAATGGTCTCACTCTACCAAATGCTGATCAGTGGGAAGCACTTGGCACATCGGTCAAGGCTGCTATACAATACGTCATCGCGTCCTCCTCGCTCCTATTGACTCCCGACGCCTGGGTCATCAATTTGGGAGACTCGCAGGCCACGGAACCTGTGAACCCTGAACTTGCTCGTTGGTCTGGCGGTGATCGATTCTGGGCCATCTTGGCCGGCTATGGCGCGGTTTTTGGCATGGCTGCCATGTATCTTCAGCGCAACAGCCCGTTCTCGAATGGCGAATTCATGAGAGCTTGGGAGGCGGGCGTTATTGACACTCTTCAGCAGGCTAGCGGCATTATGAAGGTGATCTTGATCATCAGCATTGAGATGCTCGTCTTCCCCCTATACTGTGGTTTGCTGCTTGATCTGGCTCTGCTCCCGCTTTTTGACAACACGACTGTCCTATCACGACTCATGTTTACCCGCAACTATCCTGCTACCTCAGTGTTTGTCCACTGGTTCGTCGGCACTGGATACATGTTTCACTTTGCCCTCTTCGTCTCCATGTGCCGAAAAATTATGCGTCCCGGCGTTTTATACTTTATTCGCGACCCCGACGACCCGGAATTTCATCCCGTACGCGATGTGCTAGAGAGGAACCTTATTACACAACTCCGAAAGATTCTGTTCTCGGCGTTTGTGTACGGGGCGCTCGTCATTATTTGTCTTGGAGGTGTAGTTTGGGGGCTCTCAACAGCGCTGCCAACGGTACTGCCCATCCACTACTCTTCCAATGAGCCAGTGCTGGAGTTTCCTGTTGATCTATTATTTTACAACTTCTTGATGCCACTGGCTATCAAGTTCTTCAAGCCCGGTGACGGTATCCACGCCATGTACACATGGTGGTTCCGCCGATGCGCAAGGGCCCTGCGTCTAACGTCTTTCCTGTTTGGAGATCGCAAAATAGACGAAGAAGGCAACTTGCGGCTGTCAGACTCGGAAGGAACTGGCATGTTGCGAAGCTTGTTCCTGGGAGTTGACCAGTCAAACAAGACCGTCGTCAAATCGTGGAAAGACACCATCGCTGGTGACGTTGGAGTTGAGACGGAAAAGGCGGATCCAGAAACTCTAAAGGCCCACAAAGAACATTTGGTCCAGTCTAAACAGCTGGTAGTCGATGGGAAATTTGTCCGTGCACCGGCCTCGGATCGCGTCAAGATCACCAAGGGTCGCAAGGTATTTCTTGCCGTCGACGGGGAGAACAAGCGACAAGATGGGAACGAGGACAATGATTTGTACGCTTCAGATCAGTACCGCAACGTGTACGTGCCTCCCAGGTTCAAGTCGCGCATCTTTCTCTTTATTCTCTTTATCTGGATCTTTGCGGCCTTTACCGGCGTCGGCCTTACGATAGCACCCCTTGTGATTGGACGGATGATCTTCAAGGCTCTTATTCCCGACTATGTTCGCACCAACGACATTTATGCCTTCAGTATCGGCATCTGTATCCTTGGGGTAGTCAGCTACCTGGCGATCTACAGCCGCAGCGTGCTGGACAGGGTGCACGGTTGGATGATGACGGCGAAGGAAGAAGTGGCCGCTCGACGAGCAGCAAGCCGCGCATTCTCGGCGTTTGTATGGGCCATTCAGCTTCTGTATACTTACTTTTTCCTTGCCGTCGTCTTCCCGCTGCTCATTGCGTTGCTTCTGGAGCTGTATGTCGCCATTCCTTTGCACACGTACAGGAATCCTCCAACAGCGGCCACGATGGAATCAGACAAGGCTGAATCTCTTAGCCAAGGCAGGCACACAGTGCGGCTGACGCAGGGGTGGACCCTTGGTCTGCTTTATATAAAACTTGGCTCGCGGATGATTACATCCCTATTTCCAGAGAGCCGAGCGGCGGTGGCGGTGCGAACCGTGTTGCGACGAGGATGGCAGCGTCCGGATGTTGGCGTCTTTACGCGCGCATTTGTGATTCCTGGTCTGGTCATTTCTTTCTTTGCGATATTCGCGCCACCGTTTGTGGCTCGGTATCTGGTGGATTATCAGGTCACGAGCTATCTGCCAAAGGCGGGTGAGACTGCAGAGGAGATGGCAAAGTTGGCCATTTTTTACCGCTACTCGTATCCCGGGGCTGCTGTGGTGGTCGTGATGGTGAAGAATGCCATGATGCTCGCCGGCTTGTTCAACGGGTGGACATTAGGGGTACGAGACGAGGCATACTTAATTGGCGAGCGGTTGCACAATTTTGGGGCGGCGACGGCTGGAGCCCGGAAAGGGAGGGCATCATGGAAAGCAGGTAATCGGATGTAAATATGGACTAGACTGTGGGGGGATTGATGCGTTTGCTTTTTACGTACAATGTACATTATATGCTATGATACATAAATAAAATGGATGAATGAGACTTCTTATTACTATCTCCTTTAATAATTACTGTATCCATTTTTGGCCCATTAACACCCTCGTGTGTAATAATGTCTGGTAGTTTGATACGTGTGGTACCTTTTTGAGACTTGTATGAGAGAGTAATTATATGAGATTTTTATGCACCACGTTCTGTGACTTGTGTGAGACCCCTGGTGCGACCAATATTGCCAACTTCAAGGGCTGCGCGTCTGTCGAGGACATGAAAAAGAAGAGACGTAAAACCAGGATTGTGAAAAGTCCCCGTCGTGGCACCTCGGCAACCGGGAAATTGAGGTGACGAGATTCTAATACAGCATGACTGCGTGGTTGCTGTGTGCAGGCATCATCACTCGTTAGGAGCCGGGGTAAATGGCGACAAAATCACGTGAACGTCAGAGCATGGGCGGCGATTTTGTAGCGATTGTATTTATTGCTTGGGGCCCTTGCAGTGGTTGCCCATGGCTGCAGGGTGTCAGGGGTGCGCTAGACTGAAAACTGCTCTGGCAGACCCTTTGTTACACATAGGCCTGTAGCGATGCTGATGTCTGAGGATAGATGGGAGGTATAGGTACTGAGTAATGTTTTTTCGCAGAGTATGTAGTGATTTGTTTTTACTGGTGCTTTGAAATGGTCTTCTTCGGAATATAGAATGTTGGTAAAAGTTGAGAAAAACAAACAGGTTGCAAGAAGCACAAGGTGTTGTGCAGCGACACTCCAGCATGCGCCTGGGGAACATGAGTGGTGAGTGGGTACCATGAATCCCCAGCCACACGAAGCCACAGTTGGGCCACGGTCACAGGCCAAAACACCCGCCACACTCTCCATCCTTGGGCGCGCATCCCGGCCACCTCGCTGGCCGCCGTTTTTGTTTCTCCCATCAACGGGGCCTCGCACCACTTTCAAAGCCAAGGTAAGAGTGAAAAAGAACAGCCTGGGCTTTTCGCCAGCCCTTTCGACAGGCTGTTTCCGACAAACCATTGCCATACTTCTAGGCGACTTCCAATATTTTGACCTTTCCTTGGTCCTCGGCTACTCCTCACCGCCGTTCCCCCACCAGGAAGCGAGGACTACCACTTAACGCCTCCCCCCTAACGACAAACGGACATTTTCAGAAGCTACGCGCGCGTCGGTTGAATCTTTTTGACGGCTTCGCTACTTTTATACTTTTTTAATATTGTTTCGCCCGCCGCGTTTGAGCCTCGTCTCTCTACTCATTCGATACTCGCCTCGTTCATACGCGCCTGCCTGCCACGTACCTAAAACGCAACGCTTGTTACACGCGCCCGTTCAGTCACCTGAACAGTCGACCCCGACGCAACCAGACAAAAGACAGAGAAGTCTTTGCGACAGCGGTATCCATGCTCTCCGCTTCGCATTCGACATCGTAGCTGCGACCCGACCGCCACAGCAGCCGCGCAACCCACAGCATGGAGCCGCCGTCGTCCCCGCCTAGTGCGGGCGCCACCGTTGAGGACGCGCTATCCTGGTACAAGTCCCAATACGTGCAACTCGAGGTCGAGCTCGCCGAGTTTCGCGAGTCCAGCCGCGAGCTTGAGCAGGAGCTAGAAAAGGACATTGAGAGGGCAGAGAAGCAGGAGAGAGTCTTTCAGGAACGAGCAGAGGCTCTCGGATTCGAGGTGGAAGAGTGGAAGGTAAGCTGGTCACTCTCATGACTGGCCGTTGGCGTACTAACGTCCGCAGCGCAAATACAAAGAATCCAAGACGGAGGCCGCATCGGCGCAGAATGCCCTCGAAAAGGAAATTACTGTCCTCCGCAACACAAACCGCGCCCTTCAGATGAAGCTGCGCGATTCTGAGGTGGCCAACGACGACTTTGAGCGCCAGGCGCGCAACACAACGTCGTCGCTCGAGGATATGGAGTCCAAATTTAACCAGGCTATTGAGCGTGGCGTCATCATGGACGAGGAGATGCAACAGGGCGAGCAAGAACGCGAGCGGCTGCGCATCGAGTCCCAGCGTCTGCGCGAGGAGCTAGGTGATCTCAAGATTGAGGCTGAGCTCATGCAGGACAAGCTCAAGAAGCACGAAGCCCGCCAGCACCACCTGTCCATCATTTCCACCGACATGTCCGCCCTCGGTTCTCCCACCTTTGACCGACACACAGAAATGTCGCCCAACTCGACCGCCAGCTCGCCTCTCATCACCACGCCGCCGCCCAACGACAAGCCGGTGTCGGAGGCGGGCACCGTCTCTGACATCAACGAGCCGCCGTCGCCGCCCATGTCGGAGACGTCCAACCCCATGCCCAGAGCCGTACCCGCCAAGACGCCTGTCCGCACGCTGCAGCGCAAACCCAGCCGTCTTCCTTCGATGGACCAGAGTGTCACGCCCAAGCCTCGCGCCAAGTCGACGACCACCCGTATGGCTGCCCCGCGCCTCTCTGGCGCAGGGGCGAGCATAAGCTCCAACAATCGCACGCCTGCCAACAACCGCTTACTCAACTCTCGGACGGCTTCTCACAAGCTGCCAGCCTCCAACTCGTTGTCTCACATTCGCACCCTAACAGAAAAGATGCAGCGACTAGAAGCGCGCGTGCACAATGTGCGCTCGAAGCTCCCTGGCCCGGCCAGCAGCCCGCCTCGCGCCTCGCCCCGGTCTGCTAAGCACAGCAACGTTCCGTCGTCGGTCACGGTCCGGTCGCGCAAGCGCACTGCCGGCTCAGCCACGTCGTCCATCACGGGAGACGAGACGACACCAACAAACTACCGACCGTCGACCTCGTCACGACAAGGCCACGTACCAAGACTCAGCACCTCCAACATGAACCGTCTTTCCTTTGGTCCACTGCCTAACCGGGCGCCCGATGCAGACAGCAGCCGGCCTAGTTCGCGGGCTAGCATGTCGTCGTACGCGCGACCACCATCACGAACAGAAATGGCGCCGCCGAGACCTATGTCGCGCACGTCGACTCGCACACCACTCAGCCGTCCCCGATCATCCATGTCTCTCCACAGCCACTCGCACTCGCTCAGCACGCACCATCTTGATCTCGATATTGAAGAGGAGCACGAGGGCACCCTGCAAACGCCGAGCCGGCGCGGGACGTATGGAAAGGCGGACTTTGGCAGCAGCATGAGCGGTATCCCAATGCCCGGCGGCTCGTCGATTCCGACGCCCGGCGGTCGTAGGCAGAGTGCCGGTCGTCGAACGAGCGTTGGCGTGGGTCGCGAACCGATAATGGCCAGCCGGCCTAGCACGGCTGGCGGCCGCAAGTTGGCAGATGCAAGCGACCTGGGCGAGACATATTAAGGAAGAATCGTTGTTGAGCGACGCATGAGTATAGAAATATTCCCTGGCTGTACTATGGAAGCGAGCATTTGCATTTCTGGGCTTGTTTTTATGTATAGGACGGCATGTCTCCCCACAATGTTTATAATTGTTCGAGAAACGGACAGATGGGGGACTTTGTTGTTTTGTTTTTTATAACGAATTATGGAAAGTGTATTTTTTTTTCTATTTGAACCAGGCAGCGAGTGGACAATACCCCTGTATGCTGTTGAGGACGCGAGAAAAGAAGGAATTACTGGTAGATGGGTGGTTTTTGGAAGGGAGCCGAGAACAATACGCAGGAGGGTTGGGGTTGAAGCTTGACGACGTTATGGATTAGGACGAGGCGTAGGAATAGGTTAATACTATACGTTGACATGTATGTTGCGTCTTGTGATCTGTGACTTGAAGAGGCGGAGCTCTATTAGAACAGGATTATGGTGGTAAGAGGAGAACGTAACAAGGCGAGGTGAGGCGAGGTGAGGTGAGAGCTAGAGGGCTGAGATGCACGAGGGAGCTGCATGTGTGGAGAAGCGGGATTGGTGAACCGTAAAGGGTGACTATTCGTAAATGATCACGCTGTCGAGCCAATTCATTTCGGAAAGGGGAAGGCCAGCATTACGAGGGGTGATATCTTGTGAAGGCGGGTTGTGGGCTACGCAGTGAGTGCAACGAGCAAGGCAAGATGACTGCTGGTAGTCGCCCGAGGAAAAATGAGTGACGAGATAGTGATTGGATAAATACGCTGGGAATAACTGCATCTTTGGATGACTGATGAGCTCCTCTGGTAGATGAGACAGGATGGAAATGGGCCCTCAACAGGAAAGTGAAGATGAGGCTGTCAGCGGGTGGTAGCGCAGGGTAGGACGGCCGGACGAGGCAACGGCGCCGGCCGGTGTGGTTGCCCAAGATGGCAACGGGGGCCGGATCACAGCCGGGGTGGCCAGCTAAGGAGAGTGACTAAAGGAAATATCCCATGGGTATTTTGATTTCTTCGCTTTTTCTTTTGCCTCTTCTATATCACTGAAGCACCGTCTACCTTTTGTAGGGGCGTCTTGATGGACTTTCAGTGCGTGATTTAACTTGCGTACGAGAACTCGTACGGCGCAATGGGGGGGTTTTTGTATTACTCCGAACTCTGGTTGCAAGAAATCAAAATCTAAGCGTGAGCTCGGGACAAGCCGTGTAAGACGGAGAGATGGCATGGCCGGGCTTGGTTGCGTGAACAGGGGGCAAGGCAAAGCAGCGAACTGGCTGGATGTGGTATGGGGTGCATTTCACCATTTCAAAGAGGGTGTGGCCCTAGAGACTGGTTAGCTAAAGCAAGGTGCATTTAGGGATGTCAGGATGTCAGCCGCAGTGCGGGAAAAGAAGAGTGTGTTGGAATGGAGGCGTCTGGGGTGCTCTTCCGACCAGACTGTGTATTTTGTTTCCTTACTTTTTTCTTTTTTAAATTGTTTGGTCTGGTATGCCATTGGTGTATACCTAGGTACCAGTAGAGATAACCAGCGAACTTGCATGTTGGGGGAGGCAGAATCGGACCGGCGGGAGAGTGGGGCGCCGGTGGTACGGGAACTCAACAATTGGGAAAAAAGAAGAGCCAAGAAAGATTTGGGCGGAACCAAGGAACCAAGCAAGGAGAGATGAATGGTCATGGTTCGTTGGAACAAGGGTGATTGGATAAAAGCGGCGGAATGAATTCGTGAACTAATAATAGTTGTATTCTTTTTCTCTCGTCGTCGGCGATAAAGAAGCCGGTGTACTGGGCCGAGATGGTACTCGGAGCTGGTGGTTTGACTGAGGAATATAATGTAATACATACTATTCTTTTGTACAAATTAGTCTGTTGTGTCTTGATTGTGGTATACGTTTCTGGAACCTGTGTTGTTGAGCAAATGCATCTTGTGGCTACATGCACTAGTTACTTGCCAACTTTGGGAATACCAGTAGATGCTTACTGGAATGGAGGAAGCGGGTGTCGCCAGCCGCCAGCCGCCATGAAAGCTACCATCAGCCTCCATTGGCTCTGGGTCCGGCTTACGTACAGTCCAACTAGTTACCTAGCTCTGAACGTCTGAAGATGTACTCGACGTATGTGCCGGGCTGCGTCTTCTACATCTTTGGATAGCCGTTGAGCCAAGGGGCGTGTACGTAGTTGTTTCTGACAGCTAACTTTATTATACATAATCCTGCCGGAGCGCTGCCTCGCGTTTCTCTGCCTCTTCCTTTCATTTTACTTTTTGGCCTGCTCTTCTCTCTCTTCATTCTTGTCACCGACTTTTTTCTGCATCTACATCCATCTCTCGCCTCGGAAGCGATTCTTTCGATATCCGACCGCCCCACGACAACGACAGTACGACGACAACAGCGGTACGTTTTTGCAGTTTGAATGTCGAGGGCCGACCAATTCTGTCTCCTTCTGTCTCCTTTCTCTCTTGTTCGGCTCTCTCGTCTTTCTGGTTGGATTCCATCATCATTCGGGACCGCGTCGCGGAACAAAAAATACCAGTGACGATGATCCTGGTCGAAAGGCGGCGTTTCTTATCGGCGCTAGAACGACGGCCTCTTTTTTGGATCCGCCGACAGAATGCGCTGCCACCCGGGCCAGGGACCAATGGATCTCGTCGTTTTGCCAACCTATTTTCTTTCTTCCGGCTTGTCCCTGACCGGCGTGGAGCTACGAACCAACTGCTACGTTACTGGGCGACGGTGCTGAGCCGGGCGGAAGCTTGGTACTTGGTGCGTACGGCAGTGCGGGCAGCTGGGAGTGTTTCGTGGGTTGGGCAAGTCTGGAGTCGACATGTCGAGGCTACTAGCTAGGCTGGGAGCTGAACCGGCCGTGCGGGTTGCTGACAGTGACCTCGCTTTGGTGCCCCAGTGCGACGCGTTGTCGTAATCGCGACAGAGGAGGAGCTGCGACAGCCTGCCTGGCCACGGCAATGCGCGCAAAATATCAAGAGATGGGAGACGAAAGACCAGACAAGAGATGAGAGAGGAAAGACGAGAGACGGAAAAAACCTGGCACTCCACTTCCCCAACTACCTGTGTACCTTGACGTGCCATCTACTAATAAAGCTGCTAACTAACTGAGAACCCCAACAGATCAAAGAATTGCCCTTTTGCCCATCCATTTGGCCAGCCACTAGCGTCATTGGCATTGGGCCGACAACCCCCCCTTTTGTCCCTTCCAGGTGCCTCTCCAGGTACTTGCATACCTGTAAGTCATTGCACAGCGACCTTCTTGCCCAGCTTCAGCGCTCTTTTGCCGTCATTTAGCAGTCCCACGCCCCCTGCAAGCTGCCCTCCACACGCCCCCCCAAAGGCCGGTCGTCCCTCGTTTGTCCCCGACAGAACTGCCTCCGGTGCCTCCAAAAAAGCTCCGCCAAGTTTCCTTTCCGAAAGCCTCTCTTTTCTTTCTCTTCCTCCTCCTCCTCCAGAAAACATACTCTCCTCATCCCATCTTCCCTCTCAAACGGCTGCTACTACTTCTTGACGCCCCTGTTTATGCTCTTTGTATTCCTAATCCTTCGGAGCATTCGCATTGGCCTCTTGCATTCCACGCTCCTGTATATTGATCCTCTTCTGCCAGCCTAGCTTTCGACTCTCCCTCATACCACGGAAGCGACCAGCTGTTTGCTTCTCCCTGCGCAACCTCGACCCAAGCCGCGCTCGACTCTCGACAATTCTTCTCTTCGCCTCGACTCACCCTTGTCATTGCCATTGTTCCATGAAGCCCTGAGCAAGCTTCCGGGCCATTTCGCATCGTCAACCACCACATCTGAGAATACGCCCTTTTCTCTCTCCTTGCCACATTCCACACACACACAACATGGCTCCCGAAGCTACAAGCGGCGCCAACGGCCATGCCTCATATGCGGAGAAGCACAGCATTGCTCCTCACTTCATTGGCGGCAACAGGCTGGCCAATGCCCCTGCAAGCAAGGTCAAGGACTTTGTGGCCGAGCATGACGGCCACACTGTCATCACAAACGTAAGCATTGCGCTCTTCTGCCGACGCTAGCCTCATCCTGGCCGCACCGTGAAACGCTCTGGACCGCTAACAATCCCTCGCAGGTTCTCATCGCCAACAACGGTATCGCCGCCGTCAAGGAGATTCGATCCGTCCGAAAATGGGCCTACGAGATGTTTGGCGACGAGCGCGCCATTCACTTTACCGTCATGGCCACCCCAGAGGACTTACAAGCCAACGCCGACTACATTCGCATGGCCGACCACTATGTCGAAGTCCCCGGCGGCACAAACAACCACAACTACGCCAACGTCGAGCTCATTGTCGACATTGCTGAGCGCATGAATGTCCATGCTGTCTGGGCTGGCTGGTACGTCACTCTACCCAATGCCTGACCGTCGCAATTCCCCGACTAACATATCTAGGGGCCACGCTTCCGAAAACCCCAAGCTTCCCGAGTCCCTCGCCGCCTCCCCCAAGAAGATCGTCTTTATCGGACCCCCTGGCGCTGCCATGCGCTCACTGGGTGACAAGATCTCCTCCACAATTGTCGCCCAGCACGCCAAAGTCCCTTGCATTCCCTGGTCTGGCACCGGCGTCGACAAGGTTGACGTTGACGACAAGGGCATTGTCACCGTCGCCGATGACGTCTACGCCAAGGGCTGTGTCACCTCCTGGCAGGAGGGTCTGCAAAAAGCCAAAGAAATTGGTTTCCCCGTCATGGTCAAGGCCTCCGAGGGCGGTGGTGGCAAGGGTATCCGAAAGGTCACCAACGAGGAAGAGTTTGAGGCCCTCTACAAGGCCGCCGCCAACGAAATCCCCGGCTCCCCCATCTTCATCATGCAACTCGCCGGCAACGCCAGACATTTGGAGGTCCAGCTGCTCGCCGATCAGTACGGCAACAACATCTCCCTCTTTGGCCGTGACTGCTCCGTCCAGCGTCGCCACCAAAAGATTATCGAGGAGGCCCCCGTCACCATTGCCAACGCCGCCACCTTCAAGGCCATGGAAGACGCCGCTGTTCGTCTCGGCAAGCTCGTCGGCTACGTCTCTGCTGGTACCGTCGAGTATCTCTACTCACACGCCGACGACAAGTTCTACTTTCTCGAGCTGAACCCCCGTCTCCAGGTCGAGCATCCCACCACCGAAATGGTCACTGGCGTCAACCTGCCCGCCGCCCAGCTCCAGATTGCCATGGGTCTGCCCCTTCACAGGATCCGCGACATTCGTCTGCTCTACGGCGTCGACACCAAGGCCATCACCGAGATTGACTTCAACTTTGAGAACGAGGGCGCCGGCGAGACTCAGCGTCGCCCCAAGCCTCGCGGTCACACTACTGCCTGTCGTATCACGTCGGAGGATCCTGGCGAGGGCTTCAAGCCTTCCAACGGTGTGCTGCACGACCTCAACTTCCGCTCATCCTCCAACGTCTGGGGTTACTTCTCCGTCGGTACCCAGGGTGGTATTCACTCCTTCTCCGACTCGCAATTTGGGCATATTTTCGCTTACGGCGAGAACCGCGCCGCCTCGAGAAAGCACATGGTCGTCGCCCTCAAGGAGCTGAGCATTCGCGGTGACTTCAGAACCACCGTCGAGTATCTCATCAAGCTGCTTGAGACGGAGGATTTCGAGGACAACACAATCTCCACCGGCTGGCTCGACGAGCTCATCTCCAAGCGCTTGACCGCCGAGCGCCCCGACACCATGCTTGCCGTCATCTGCGGTGCCACCACCAAGGCCCACATTGCCTCGGAAGCTTGCATGGCCGAGTACCGCGCAGGTCTTGAAAAGGGTCAGGTCCCCTCCAAGGACATTCTGCGCACCGTTTTCAACATTGACTTCATCTATGAGGGCTTCCGCTACAAGTTTACCGCTACCCGCTCCAGCAGTGACAGCTACAACTTGTTCATCAATGGTTCCAAGTGCTCTGTCGGCGTTCGTGCCCTCTCCGATGGTGGTTTGCTGATTCTGCTCGACGGCCACTCCCACAACGTCTACTGTAAGGAGGAAGTTGGTGCCACTCGCATATCTGTCGACAGCAAGACATGTCTCCTCGAGCAGGAAAACGACCCTACTCAGCTGCGCACCCCCAGTCCGGGTAAGCTCGTCAAGTACACTGTCGAGAACGGTGCCCACCTCAAGGCCGGTGCTACCTATGCCGAAGTCGAGGTCATGAAGATGTACATGCCCCTCGTCGCTCAGGAGGACGGTATCGTCCAGCTCATGAAGCAACCCGGTGCCACGCTCGAGGCTGGTGACATTCTCGGTATATTGGCCCTTGATGATCCCAGCCGCATCAAGCAGGCCCAGAGCTTCGTTGATAAGCTGCCCACCCTCGGTGATCCCGTTGATCTCGGTGCCAAGCCAGCTCAGCGCTTCCAGCTCCTCCACAACATCATCAACAACATTCTGCTCGGTTACGACAACTCCGTCGTCATGCAGCCCGCCCTCAAGGGGCTCATTGAGGTTCTCCGCAACCCCGAGCTACCCTTTAGCGAGTGGAACGCGCAGTTCTCTGCTCTGCACTCCCGAATGCCTCAGAAGCTGGATGCCCAGTTTGGTCAGATTGTTGAGCGTGCCAAGGCTCGCCATGCCGACTTCCCTGCTCGCGCGCTGCAAAAGGCCTTTTCCAAGTTCCTCGAGGATAATGTAGCCGCCGCCGATGCTGACCCGCTACGCGCCACCCTTGCTCCCCTGACGCACATTCTGGACATTTATGCCGATGGCCAAAAGGTCCGCGAACTCAACCTCATCCGCGGCCTCCTTGAGTCCTTTTGCGATGTCGAGAGCCTCTTCCGCGGCAGCAGCCAAGAGGAGAGCGTCATCCTTCAGCTTCGTGAACAAAACAAGGAGAATATCAACAAGGTCGTACAAACCGCCCTCTCTCACAGCCGTGTCAGCGCCAAGTCGTCCCTCGTCGTCGCCATCCTCGACGAGTACCGCCCCAACAAGCCCAATGTCGGCAATGTTGGCAAGTACCTGCGCGATACCCTTCGCAAGCTTACTGAGCTCTCTTCGCGCACCACTTCCAAGGTCTCCCTCAAGGCTCGCGAGATTATGATTCAGTGCGCTCTGCCTTCTCTCGAGGAGCGTACCTCGCAGATGGAGCACATTCTTCGCTCCTCTGTCATTGAGTCTCGCTACGGTGAGAGCGGCTGGGACCACCGCGAACCTAGCCTGGACATCATCAAGGAGGTTGTCGACTCCAAGTACACCGTCTTTGACGTGCTGACCCTCTTCTTTGGCAACGAGGACCACTGGGTGTCGGTTGCTTCGCTCGAGGTCTACATCCGCCGCGCGTACCGTGCCTATATCCTCAACAAGATCAACTACCACTCTGATGAGAGCGACAACCCCCAGTTCATCTCCTGGGACTTCAAGCTGCGCAAGCTTGGTGAGGCCGAGTTTGGTCTGCCTGCCCAGTCTGCTGCTCCCTCCGCTCCTGGTACTCCCCTTGGTAGCGAGCTTGGTAAGCGCATCTATTCTATTAGTGATATGTCGTACCTCGACGCCAAGATCAGCGAGGAGCCAAGCCGCATCGGTGTCATTGTTCCTTGCAAGTACATTGACGAGGCGGATGACCTCCTGCAAAAGGCTCTCGAGGCCATTGCCTTCCAGCAGAAGCAGAACCGCCAGACCACTGCCTCTGGCCTCATTGCTGACCTCAGCGGCAAGCGCAAGCCTATCCAGCCCGCCACACCTCGCGGTCCCGCCGAGGACCTGAGCGCCGTCGTCAACATTGCTGTCCGCGATGCTGAGAGCAAGGACGACCAGGAGACGCTTTCTCGCATCCGTCCCATCGTTGCTCAGTTCAAGGATGAACTCCTTGCCCGCGGTGTCCGCCGCCTGACCTTCATCTGCGGCCACAGCGACGGCTCGTACCCCGGCTACTACACGTTCCGTGGACCCCACTATGAGGAAGATGACAGCATTCGTCACAGCGAGCCCGCGCTGGCTTTCCAGCTTGAGCTTGCTCGTCTGTCCAAGTTCAACATCAAGCCCGTCTTCACTGAGAACAAGAACATTCACGTTTACGAGGGTGTGGGCAAAGCTGCGGATACTGACAAGCGCTACTTTACTCGTGCTGTCATTCGTCCTGGCCGTCTCCGTGACGAGATCCCCACGGCTGAGTATCTCATCTCCGAGGCTGACCGCGTTGTCAATGACATTTTCGACGCTCTCGAAATCATTGGCAGCAACAACACGGACATGAACCACATCTTTATGAACTTTAGCCCCGTGTTCCAACTTGCCCCCTCCGAGGTTGAGCACAGCCTCCAGGGCTTCCTCGACCGCTTCGGCGCCCGCGGCTGGAGACTCCGTGTGTCCAACGTTGAGATTCGCATCATCTGCACTGATCCCACTACTGGAGCGCCATACCCTCTGCGTATTGGCATCACCAACACCTCTGGCTATGTTGTTGACGTCGACTTGTACGCTGAGCGCAAGTCGGACAAGGGCGAATGGGTCTTCCACAGCATTGGCGGCACCAAGGAGAAGGGCCCCATGCATCTCCTGCCTGTCAACACGCCCTATGCCACCAAGAACTGGGACCAACCCAAGCGTTACGAGGCTCACCTCATGGGCACTCAGTACGTCTACGACTTCCCCGAGCTCTTCCGCCAGGCCATTCAGAACAGCTGGGTCAAGGCTGTTAAGAGCCAGCCTGGCCTTGCGGCCCACCAGCCCAAGACGGGAAACTGCATCACCTTTACTGAGCTGGTTCTCGATGACAAGGACGACCTGGATGAAGTCAACCGTGAGCCTGGAACCAATAAGTGTGGTATGGTTGGTTGGCTCATCAAGGCTCGCACTCCCGAGTACCCTGCCGGCCGTCGCTTCGTAGTTGTCGCCAACGATATCACTTACAAGATTGGCTCCTTTGGTCCCAAGGAAGATAACTTCTTCCATAAGTGTACCGAACTGGCGCGCGAGCTAGGCATTCCTCGCATCTACCTGTCAGCCAACTCTGGTGCCCGTCTTGGTCTTGCCAACGAGCTGATGCCCCACTTCAAAGTCGCCTGGAACGATGTGACCAAGCAGGACAAGGGCTTCCGCTATCTGTACCTTGACCAGGCTGGCAAGGACCGCTTCAAGAAGGACGTCATTACCGAGGAAATTTCCGAGGCCGGCGAGAAGCGCCACCGCATCGTCACCATTATTGGTCAGGAGGATGGCCTCGGTGTCGAGTGTCTGCGTGGCTCTGGTCTGATTGCCGGTGCCACCAGCCGTGCTTACAACGACATCTTTACCGTGACGCTGGTTACCTGCCGTTCCGTGGGTATTGGTGCCTACCTCGTCCGTCTTGGCCAGCGTGCTGTCCAGGTCGAGGGTCAGCCCATCATCCTAACTGGTGCTCCTGCCTTGAACAACCTGCTTGGTCGCGAGGTCTACACTTCCAACCTGCAGCTCGGTGGTACCCAGATCATGTACCGCAACGGTGTCTCGCACATGACTGCCAACGACGACTTTGAGGGTGTCTCGCGCATTGTTGAATGGATGTCTTATGTCCCTGAGAAGCGCAACGCCCCCATCCCTGTCAGCCCGAGCACCGACACCTGGGACCGCGACGTCACCTACTGCCCTCCCCTGAGGCAGCCGAACGATGTTCGCTGGATGATTGCCGGTAAGCAGGACGAGACGGGCTTCCAGAGCGGTCTCTTTGACAAGGACTCGTTTGTCGAGACCCTCGGAGGCTGGGCCCGCACGGTCGTCGTCGGTCGTGCCCGTCTTGGTGGTATCCCTATGGGTGTCATTGCCGTTGAAACCCGCAGTGTCGAAAACACTACCCCGGCCGACCCTGCCAACCCCGACTCTATCGAGCAGGTCAGCAACGAAGCGGGTGGCGTCTGGTACCCCAACTCTGCATTCAAGACTGCCCAGGCTATCAACGACTTTAACAATGGTGAGCAGCTGCCGCTGATGATTCTTGCCAACTGGCGTGGTTTCTCTGGTGGTCAGCGCGACATGTATAACGAAGTCCTCAAGTACGGTTCGTTCATTGTTGACGCCCTCGTCAAGTATGAGCAGCCTGTCTTTGTGTACATTCCTCCCCACGGCGAGCTCCGCGGTGGTTCGTGGGTCGTCGTTGATCCCACCATCAACCCCAACGTCATGGAGATGTACGCCGACGAAGAGGCGCGCGGTGGTGTGCTCGAGCCCGAAGGCATCATTGGTATCAAGTACCGCAAGGCCAAGCAGCTTCAGACCATGGCCCGCATGGATGAGACGTACGCGCAGCTCAAGAAGAACCTGGAGGACCCCAATACCTCCAAGGAGGAGGTCGAGGAGATCAAGACCAAGATGGACGCACGCGAGCGCCAGCTGCTCCCTGTGTACTCGCAGATTGCCATTCAGTTTGCCGATCTCCACGACCGGGCGGGCCGCATGAAGGCCAAGGGCGTGGTCCGCGATGTGCTGGAGTGGTCCAACGCGCGCCGCTTCTTTTACTGGCGCGTGCGCCGCCGGCTCAGCGAGGAGTATATGCTGCGCCACATGGCCACCAGCACGCTGAACCAAAAGGAGTCGACCGCCACGACCAACACGACGCGGGAGCACAATCTCAAGCTCCTCCAGTCGTGGTCGCGTATTGAGAAGTGGGAGAAGGACGACCAGGCGGTGGCGGAGTGGTACGAAAAGGAGCGCCGGTCGATTGGCGAAAAGGTCGAGACGCTCAAGGCGGAGAAGCTGTCGAGCCAGCTGGCCGAGGTGGTGCGTCGCAACAAGGAGGCGGGCTTCAAGGGCATCCGAGAGGTGCTCCGTATCATGCCTCTGGAGGAGCGTGATGCGATTCTGGAGTATCTGAGGCAGTGATTGCCAGGAATGAGGTCAAGAACAAAAAAAAAAACGAAAAATATATATACTTAATGATGGTTAGACGGCGGGTTGTACGTTTGGTAGAATTTTGTTTGTCATAGCTACGTATTCATGTTAATGTTTGAATTTGAATCTGCAATTCTAAAATAAATGTCCAGTGTCAAGGTCTTGAGCTGTAGATAGGAATGCCATTCGTTGGCAAGATGATTATACATTGTCTAGGTATTACAGGTGGTATCCGCCTCGATGTTGTACAGGTTGTCATGTATTGTAACCATTCATCAAAGTTTCGATGTATTTTTTTCTGCCTCGTGACACGATGGGGCCTGCTTCACGCATCAGGCACCCTCGTGCGAATCTGCACGCCATGCCACGTCTTGACGACATCCCCGAGCGCGGCATTGACCATGCGCTGCTGCTTCAGCATCGTCTGGCCGCGAAACGCCTCGGCCGCAATCTCAATCGCGTACATGCTGCCGCACCCGCCCGACACGTCCTGCACCAGCACGGCCGACGGCGCGAGCTGCGCGATGAGCAGCTGCGCGATGGCGCTTTCGGCGGCGCTCATGCTCGGGGCTTCAGCGGCGGCGGAAGAGCCCGACGAGTATGCGCGACGGGGGAGGAGCACGCCACCAGGGGACGGGCGGGCGGCGCGTGGTAGACGGGAGAGGGCTTGTCGTCGCGTGGTGCTGGAGAGAGGGCGCGCGGCGGCGGCGGCGGCGAGAGTGGTGCTGGCAAGGCGGCGGCAGAGTGCGCAGAGAAGGGAGCGCTGCATGGCGAGGTTTTGTCGGTGGATGCGGGTGTACTCGAGGGGGAGTTGAGGTCGAGGTCTGGACGGGGCGTAAGAGGGGATCGGTTGGCAATTGCTTGAGGTTGGAGTGGTTGATAGGGATGGGTTTGATTGATAAACTTCAGGAGCTGACCGCGGATTTGCCGGCGCTGGCCGAGGATAGTGGTGGGGGCGGGAAGCTTGGCAATGGGAGGGTGGGAATTGGCCAACTGCCCTTGTTTTTTACGGAGCTGTATATACGCAAATAAATTTGCCCATGCATTCATGATTGGTGAGATGGCCGAGTTGGTAAGCACCCCTGAACAACCACCGTCAATCAACTTCGTGGCTAACATCTGCAAAAGGTTATGGCGCCAGGTTAAGGTCACCTTAACGTGTGTCCTGGTGGAGCAATCCTCATGGGTTCGAATCCCATTCTCATCAGAGATTTCCTTTTTTGCATATTACTATAATAAGTCGGGTATATTATAAGCTCTTCTTTTTTTCTCTTTATCTAGTCTCTCTTTTGTAAGGGGAGTAGCTATTTTAAGCTTAACTTTATAAATTAAAAGTATAAAAGCTAATAGTATTATATAAATAATACTTAAAAAAATTAAATAGCAATTTAAAATAATATAAATTTTAATAATAAAAATTTATAATATTTTTAAATTTATCTTTATTAAAAAAGTAATAATATTAAAATCTTTATTATAATATTCTATACTAAGTATATATTAAGAACTAGCCTTAGGGTATTTATAAATAAGTATTATAATAATATTGACTTTCTTATAAAGTAAGAAAGAAGAAAAAGCTAGGTTATTTATTTAAATAAAAAAGGAAAGAAAGAAATTAAGAAGTAATTAGGCTTAACTAATTTAAAAATATTATTATAGGCTAGGCTCTAGATATTACAGGCTAGGCTCTAGCCTAGCACCTTCTAGAGTAGCTAGCATAGAGCCCTTAAAGGGGGCCCTTATAAGTATAACTTGTAATAGACTAGCCCTAGAGGGGCTTTAGAGGCAACCAGCCCCGCAGCTATTAGTAGCCTTACGGCGTACAACCCTCTTACCCACTTAACCACGGAAGGCAAAAGGATTCGTAATAACAATACTAGCACGATTGTTGTCTGGTTGCACCTATAAGGGGCCCCCTTCAGGGGCTCCGCGCTGGCCACTCTGGAAGGACTAGGGCGGGCTCTGTAGCCTAGCCCTTAATATACCCTCTCTCTCCCCGGCGCGCCATAGATAGGCCATAAACCCCCTAGACAAGCCGCCGCCTATAAGCCTAGGCCGAAATATGCCTATACGCAGCGCTAATCCACCTTCCATTATGGTGGCTACCTGCTGTACGGTTCGAACCTATGACCCTGGGTTAGTATTGTTGTATATGACGGACTGGCCCTAGAGGGGCTTTGGGGGCAACCAGCCCCGCAGCCGTTAGTAGCCTTACAGCGCACAACCCTCTTACCCACTTAACCATAGAAGGCAAAAGGATTTATAATAACAATACTAGTACGATTGTTGTCTAGTTATACCTATAAGGGGCCCCCTTTAGGGGCTCCACGCTGGCCACGCTAGAAGGACTAGGGCAGGCTCTATAGCCTAGCCCTTAATATAACTAAGCAATAATTAGTTAGTATTATTATTATAAATCCTTTTAGCCTTATAGCTATAAGGGTTATATACTATAAGGCTATTAATAGCTATAAAGCTAGTTACCTTTAAAACCCCTTTAAGGCTAGTCTATTATATATAATAATACTATCTTAAGATTATAAGTTTAAACTATATAGAATAGCTATTATAAAAAAGTAATATAAAAGCTAATACTATATATAGACCTTAGCCTAGGCTTATAGGTAATAGCTTATTTAAAGGGTTTATAGCCTATTTATAGTATTAAGAAAGGGAAAGGTATATTATAAGTTAGGCTTTAGCTTAATACCTTTTAAAGTAGTTAGTATAAAGCTTTTAAAAAAGGCTTTTATAAGTATAATTAAATAATAATTAGTTAATATTATTATTATAAATCCTTTTAGCCTTATAGCTAAAAGGGTTATATACTATAAAGTTACTAATAGTTATAAGGCTAGTTACTTTTAAAACCTCTTTAAAGCTAGTTTATTATATATAATAATACTAACCTAGGGTTATAGGTTTAAACTATATAATAAGTAGCTACTATAATTAAAGGTAGATTAGCACTATATATAGACTTTAGCCTAGGCTTATAGGCTATATATTAGAGCCTAGGGGGTTTATAGCCTATTTATAAGTATACTAGAAAGAGAAAAGGTATATTAAGGGTTAGGCTATAAAGCCTACCCTAGTCCTTTTAAAGTAGCTAGTATAAAGCTCCTAAAAGGCCCCTTATAAATATAACTAAATAATAATAAGTTAATATTATTATTATAAATCCTTTTAGTCTTATAGCTAAGGGGGTTATATACTATAAGGCTATTAATAGCTATAAGGCTAGTTATTTTTAAAGCCTTTTTAAAGCTAGTTTATTATATATAATAATATTATTTTAAGGTTATAGGTTTAAACTATATAGAGTAGCTATTATAAAAAAGTAATATAAAAGCTAGTATTATATATAGACTTTAGCTTAGGCTTATAGGTAGTAGCTTATTTAAGAGGTTTATAGTTTATTTATAATATTAAGAAAGGGAAAGGTATATTATAAGTTAGGCTTTAGCCTAGTATCTTTTAAAGTAGTTAGTATAAAGCCTTTAAAGAAGGCTTTTATAAGTATAACTAGGTAATAATTAGTTAATATTATTATTATAAATCCTTTTAGCCTTATAGCTAAGAAAGTTATATACTATAAGGTTATTAATAGCTATAAAGCTAGTTATCTTTAAAGTCTTTTTAAGGCTAGTTTATTATAACTATTATAGTTTTTTTAGTATTTATAAATTTATTAAGGTATTAAAAGGATTATAAGGTCTAATTAGGATAATTTAATAAATAAATAAATAAATTATTAATTAATAAATTATTAAACTTATTAAGATAAATATTACTTTTTTTAAATATAAAATAAATTAAGTTTAGTATTTATAAAGTCTTTTATTAATTCTTTTTAAAGTATATTTCTCTTAATTATAATATAGAACTTTATATTATAAAACTACTCTATTATAAAGGTATATAGTATATATTAGAAATTTTTTAGCGCCCTTAGTTAAGGGATATTACCCTTAGCTGAATGTACTAAGGTACCCTTAGGTAAGATCCTACCTGGACATCAAGCCCGCAACCCCGCACGGCAACTCCCTAGTCACATTTACCCGCTGCTGCCTAAGCTAACGAAGTATATAAGTACGGACCGCCCCCTCAGGGCATATGAACAACAAGCCTCGCTTCCAACCCGACAATTACTGAACAACTTGCCATACACTTTCAACCCTGCTAGGTTGGTCTGCTCGTGGACCCATTTCTATGCCTGTTTAACTTGTTTCTAGATCATTATCGATCGATCATGTGCACCCAAGACATTCGACAGTGGTCGAACTGCAGCTGCGAAGTGGAGATTGGACCTCAAAAGGATTGTCCCAAGAAAGGAACTGCAGAATGCAAGGGGGTTACGAGAGTGGTCATTAGCTACTTCTCCGGTTGGTGTAAAGAACATCCCCCTTAGGATACCCAAGGCTTGTTCTAGTTTACCAATGCGTATCTCTTCAATGCTGCAACGTCCTGGTCGAGGCAATATTCACCAGTGGGAAATCGCCAAGTGGGCATGAAGGGCGGCACCGGGCTGCCGATTCGTCCGGAAAAGCTGAAGTCGATGATGATGAGACGATCGTTGTCGGCTTTCATGATGTTACTAGGGTTGAAATCTCCATGGCAGAACCCTGCATGATGCAGCAAGCTGAACACGCCCTTGACATCCTCCCATCGAGTGTGCATTTCGCCTGGCTCCAACTTTGTGAGCGTTTTCATTCGGTAGCCGTAGATCGCCCCGTCGCAGGTGATGGGTTGTTCGTCGAAATCCACTACAGGGAGTTCCAACTTCTTTAATTCGGTGAGGACATTGAATTCTCGTTCGATAAGTTTGATAGATATGTCATCATCTGGATGGGCAAGTTTGATGATGGGAAAGGCGTTGCCATTGGTGGTTCTTATGGAGGCATGAGCGCCGTAATCATGGTGTTTCGAACCCTTCCAGATCCTGTCCAACTCTGGAGTCAAGGAGAGCGGAGCAATCTTCGCGACGTTCGAGTCTAGGAAGGGAAAGCTGGTAAGATCCGGGTACTGTGGGGAACCTGACCAGCTGACTGAGAATAAATCAGAGTTGTAATCGACGAGGCATTGGTACGAGCCACGAGTTTCGGCAGCATTGGGAGGGCTTGTCGGTTTTGCTTCAGCGCCAGGAACGTGACAGATCGGTTGGTGCGTCCGTTGTGCGGGCTGGTCGATTTGAGTACGCAGGCGGCGCCCAGTGAGTCGTGGCAAGAAGAAGAAAAGGCTCTCCAGGACATAGTAAATGCCGTTTCGTAGGCGTTGACCGCCCGCCACGGCGAGGTTTGGAACTGTGAGGGTCATTTTGTCTAGAGAGGCAGGTGAACTCCCATGTGGAGGAGAAAAGATTTGAGGCTCACACCGGAGAGGTTAAAGTTTAATCCGAAGGAACTGAATTGAATATTGAATATTGAATATAATGTGCGTTACGCATAAATCGGAGTTTTGTTGAAAACGGGGCTTTCGGAATCGCGCTAATATGTACACCTGTCCAGAGATATTTCGCACTGTATACGTAGCCTGGTCCGTGCATAATGTAATCATAGACGACTGCTTAAGCAGTTCGGAAAGTCGATCTCTTTGAAAAGTCCTTATCCGAGCCTACACGGCCACTTCGTACAGCCCGCAAGAAGACTTTTTCGAAGTGATCGATTTTCCGAAGTAGTCGCGTAGCCTCCAGTGAGGAGTTTTCGAGGAAATCGATTTTCTGAAGAGCTCGACTGCTCGAAGCGCTCGTAACTATAATCTCTAATGAGGACATTTCGAGGCACTTGGCTTTTCGATCAGTTCGAAAAGTCCTCGATTTAGTTTGCTCGATCAGTTCGGAGATTCAAGTAGTTCGAAAACTCCTCGTCGGAGGCTGCTCAATTAGTTCGAAAAGTCCTCGTTTGAGGCTGCGCGAGGTCGGAGGTTGCGCGGTTGGAGGCTGCTCGAGCAGTCTTGAGGATGGGGCTGGTGGAGCGATTCCGGGCAGTTCCATCCACGGTACGCTGATGTACCTATCCTGGGAAAGCTGCCAATGCAACATATGCCAGTTATCTTCAATCAATCAACTCTTTCTCTCATATTCACGAGCTTGTTCTCATCGCCCTGGACCGGCGGGGCGCCTTGCTCATGCCGAGAACTGTTGGCGTGGGCGAGGCTTTTAGCGAAAAAACTTGCCAGGCAGCGCAATCTCAGGGAAGGCAATACCCCGAGCAGCTAGCCATGGTGCGTAGGCAACGGACACACCACAGGGCGACGGCTCGACGGCTTCGGCCTCGTTGCTTCGGCTTTTAGCAAATCTTTTCTACAAAGTGAGCCGTCTCGCGGATCATGGTGACACGAGACGAGGCAGTGAGGGAGCGTGAGCTGTAATACGTTTTGGTGTGCAGCTCATCGCTGACACGATCGTGTGTGTTGAATGCTAAAAATACGACAGCCAGCACTAGAAATACAATGTTTCCTCGGCTATGCCATTCTTGGCATCCATTGACTAAGAGTAGAGAGGTTGTTAGTCAAAGCGAATCCCCGAGTCAATTAGAAAGTCAAGAACACATACAAATGCTTTCGCAACACATGCCATCTCCCTTGATTCCCTTTGGAACTGCCGCTCCGTGTCTTCGTCACCCGTTGTTCGATCCTCAACGCTCGAAGAGTCAAAGTCCAGCCAAAAGACTCTGTCTCTAGGCGTCCCCGGAACAACCATCATGTTTCTCGGGTATGGGTCGCCATGAAGGAGGCCGACGCTGTGGAATTCGGTAAGCATTGCACACAGCCTATCCATTTTATCTAGCGTATAGTTATTAAAATCAATCTTCTTAGCGTTTTGTATATATTCGATGAAAATAGCGCTAGGCGGAGCTGAGTCGTTTTCGAACTGGTATAATTCTGGCCACAGGGATACATCTATGCTGTCGATGATTCCATAAAACTTTGGAACGAGACCTCGCTCACAAAAGCCCTTTTCGTTAAGCAGTCGATAAGCGCTCTCCTCGGAGCGGAATTGATGCCAGTATCCATTGTGCTTATACTAGGCAAGGCGTTAGTGTTGGCGTTAGTGTTGTGATAAAATAGATGCCACGCGAAATTGTAACTAACCACTTTCATGACGCAAAGCCTGTCGTCGATTTCAACTTTAAAGGTAATAACACGCGTATTGCCATTCTTTTTGTCTATTTTGGTCTTGAGAATCTCAAGAAACGTGACGTCAGAAGACTGGACGTTCACCAGTTCATCGTTGGCAGTGTCGGGTGGTGGTACAGAAGACGGCCGAGAGGTTGGTGGGGAGGATGGAAGAACAGATGCGGCAGAGGTCGGGGGCAAAGCTGACATGTCGGAGATGAATGACGGGGTGTGTCGCTCATTTATATTGACGTGCGTGGTGCTAAAGAACAAGGACGAAAGAAAGGCTGGTAATGATGGAGATGGAACGAGGGAGGAGTTGAAAGCCAAGCGCTGGGGCTCAAGACGATGCGCCCACTTTAGTATTAGTAGTGAGCGCCACAACGTAGAGTAGGGACCTCACACAATCAGCTAGTGATCTATAATTAGCTAGATGGTTAAAAGGGCTAATCTTAATTACTAATAGAGTTAGAAGAATGAAAGATAACTACCTACGCGAGCGGGGGGTGTTTTCTACAATGCCTATAATGACCAGCCTGCGTTTACACATATGTTTTTGGCCTTATGCAGAGATGTCAGCCTGTTTGTAACATGTTAGGAGCCCTCTACAATATGTTTAAAATTATAAAATGGCGCCAATATACTAAAAAAATATGTTAAGATTTAAAATCCTGCTCAAGCCATCTTAGAAAACAGCCCTACGCCCCTAGGTAGGCAACCAGCACCCGTCATCTAGCTGCGGGAAGTTCTCTACGAGGTATAATAAAGTCGCCGACCTAACTACTAACCTGCCGGTCATAGTCGACTTGTTAGCAAGAGGCGACTAAGCAGCGTTCGTCGTGGTGGAAAGAGGCCCGTCGCTGAACAGAGCGCAGTGCATGTTACACGTCGCGAGTTGAGGCACTATGGCAGCTGACTAGATCGCTTATTCGTCTTCAGCACACAGATAGATTTTTCTCAGAAGATCCTCATCAGAAAACAGCCCATTGTCGTCTTTTCTGATCTCTTCCGCCTTCACAAGCAGCGCGCGGTAACGGTTAACTTCCACAGGCCCATACTGACTCGCCGCGTGGTCCTCGGCAAAGCCGCTGTCTTCCAGGCCAGCGCCCTTCAGCGGGCGATTCCGAAACGCCAGGAGCATCAACGCCATGTCCGCTGCGCCAAACCGCGGAAAGCACTTCTTCGCGATCCTCAGCGCCGTCTCCGTCTCCGCCATCGTCGTCGTCGGCTTCCGAATAGACCACAGGGCGCGCAGATCCAGCACGCGATTGGTCCACTGCTTCTTCCCGTGAGCGTCTGCGCACTGCGGATACAACTCGTACAGCCCCGCCTGTTCGAGCTGCGCCAGAGTCGCTACGCAATGTAGACGCGACCTTGACTCAGATGCTCGCCGTTGTTGTAGTCGTCTCGGTTCAGGCGGAAGTCAAAGAACTCACTCACGATGTGCTCCCTATACGCCCTGATTAGGGTCATGTCGCGCATAAACTGTCCGCGCGGGAAGTCGGCCGGGTCCAGGACGCAGATGCTGACGTCGCTGGGGGAAAGTCGGAAGCGGTCACAACGGTAGATGGCGTACTGGATGGCAAATAGCAGGGAGCTCGTCCACGAGCTCAAGTTGTCGGAATCAAAAACCGCGTTGTTGAGGTGTTCGCATCCAATCAGCCCCGATAGGCTCCAGAGGCTCCAGCGGCCAGCCCGCCTCCACGATGCTCTATACCCAACTCGTACTCAACGCTTTCGATCAGCAGCATTCTGTGGAAAACACAGATAATCTAGACTAGCCCTTATTCTAATAGCGCATAAGGGATAGAGTTAGGGTTTGCTACCAAAGTAGCTTTATATATCTATGTATGTATACGCTCAAGCAATATTATCTAGAAATGGCTTATATATAAGCCTAAGTTCAGAATGGCAGGCCGGCAATCCCGTTGCTAGAAAAGTACCAAGTACCTAAGCTCTGAGCATATGCGCAACTTTTTTGTATCGCGCCGCAAATTTACCTGAACAACTCCCTCCATAGAAGGCTGGCGCGTCCACTTCGCGTTAAGTGCCCATGGGAGCAGCGTGTGACGATTTGCAGGCTGAACTGTCGCGTGGCTTACATCGATCGGGATAGCATCTATAAAGCGGGGGTGACAGTGTAGCGCTTTTCCGCCTTTTGTTGCCTCTTCATAATAAAGTCAAGTCAGCAAACTCAAAGCTAGCATGCGGGGGGGTGGCAGCACCCGAGAGCTCATCTATGGGGTATCATTGTGAAAAGAAGGGTAATTATTATCAGGGTTTGCTTTTATGATCGTGATCCTAGCGCCACTCAAGGCCAACTAAGGCTTTGGCTAGAAGCGCGCCATCGTGTATTCGCCACACTTAGGATTCATCATCATCTTGCAGAGTTATGAACCTTAAAAAAAAGAAATTTCGTTTAGATGACACATTCCCCTATAACCGCGCCGTCGATTGCCTACCTACCTATAAAAGGTGCTCTTGGTCAACCAACCGCTACCTCTCGCTTCGGCCATCGTGGCCCGACTGACTTCTTCGCCCCGGCCCCTTGCCTGCCTGCCTGCTGCAAACACACGCGCCGAGTTAGCCCACCTGATTAGATCAACCCGTTGCCAGATGTTCCTAGCTAACCTGTCAAACTTGTTAGATCGGCCACTTCGTCACATCTCAACTGCCTCGTCGATGGCGTGTCCTGAAGAGGAATTGCCTCTGGAGCCGGGCAAGGCCCGACAGACCGCCTGCTTGGAAGAACTGGGCATAGATGGCAGCAAAACACCCCCCTGCAGTGGCAGCGAGACTTCGCCAGAGTCTGATCCTGCGGATGTCCATCGAATCATCAGCGTTCGCGGCATACACGCATTATTGGCGGGCGAATCGCGGTCAAGGCTGTTTCCTGAGTCGCTGTATCTCTTTATCCACGATGGCGCTCTGCACCGATACATTGCCTGCAACTTCTGGGTGCGCATCTGGCTACTTTTCGCCGCCTTCTTGTCCGTCAGCATCGTCTTCATGGTGCCGCTCACGCCGGTTTTTCTTTGCGGTCGAGCTGTCTACCTGGCCCGCTTTGGCAGACTGGCTGACCTAGGCGATCTGTCGTATTATCCGCCATGCCTGCCAATAGTTTTTTTCGAACTATTTGGATCCGAAGCATTCTTCTACATTTGTTGGCACCAATTTCGGCTAACCGACACGCATAACTTTGGCCCAGAATATCGTTTCCCCATCTTGTATATATGTCTACGCGCCATTGAACATTATACGTGGCTGATGTCGATTAGCCTGCTTAGAAGATTCAAATATGACAATGGAATTTGAACGGAGAGAAACTTGTATTTCGGGATGGATGTGGTCAGCTCGAAAGACGTCGTCGTCAAGCCGGTGCCAAAGCTGTACTGTTAGCCATGGCACGGCATTAGTAGCTCTCACACAACAGCAACAGCGGGATCCACACCTGCTGGAATGGAATAGACCTTGAGTAACCGTACTGTTCAACGTTCAACAAGAGATGGTGGAAATAGGCAACAAACGGCAGGCACCTTGAAAATATCTGCCCAGCTTTGAATACTTCTTCTTCTTTCCATCGAGCATCGCACACGGTTTCGATTACGACAAGGCGACCCCGCTGCATCGAAAATGCGTTCAACACAGCGGCGTTTGCACCCAACTGCACAGAGGAACGACCAATTGACCCCCTACTCGCACTTGCAGAGAAGGCCATTATTTGAAAGCTCCAAGGACGAGCAAAGTTAGCTTCCCTCTCCGCGAGAACTCTCAAGCTCCGGTTACCTCGTCAGGACCTTTTTGAGCCTGCATATTCAATTTACCTATGCGAATTGGTCACCTTGAGCGCCTCGCAGGGCCAGCTGAGCACTGTCGCCTTCTCGATTGAGCCGACTTCCATCCGGGCGTGGGATCCGGACCGGTCACGACTATATGAAAAACTTTAGTACAGATTACACGACCATGACAGGTGCACGCCGGCGGAGACGCGCCCACTGCATAACCTTGGCCGCAGCGGCTCCAGGTCCAAAGAGGAAGCTGCTTTCAGCACAGCGGTGGAACGAGGACCCGGCACAAGACTGCAAACCACAAACGCACACATACAAGAGAGATCATCATCGTCCCTGTTTACGCTTATTTCTGGCGCGCGCGCGAACCGTTGGAGCCTTGCGCTTGGCTGCAACGCTGGAAGATGCCGAGCTTGTGGAGTTTTTTGTTTGTGACAGTGCTGATCGCGAGAAACTCGGGTTCCATGCAGGTGAAACATCGATGCAAGCCTACACGATGGCGAACAACGGGCATTGTCCATATCGGGTGTTTGTGTGGTCTCAGCAAGGAACGGAGAACCGAGGACGACCGGAACCTTTGTCGGCCCTCACTTTGCGGCGGACCGCAATGCAAGCACGCAAGCACGCAAGCCCGCCGCACCCGAGTTTGTGTTGAAATGCTTGTACGTAACAGATCGCTCCCCCAGGATCATGGCCTTGCAGGTCTTTTTGCGGGGGGGCAGATAAGGACGTGGGAAATTGCGATTCATGGACTCGATGCCAAGTCCTGCGCCAATGGACAGTATACGGTTTTCAGGCCACTCGACAGCACACAGTAATGACTTATTACTGGTACTCCGCCGTACATGTGGGTGAATGATGACACAATCTTTCGGTGCCACAATCTCACAGGCCCTCCACAATCGGCAAAGGCCCCAGCCCTTTTGCGGATGTGGCGCGACAGAAGTGCCTGGCTTGCTAGCCTCCCGCGCGACGGCGCCGGCCTTTCGGCGAGCCAAGAAGTTAGCGTGTGATGCAGTGGTGGTGCTCGCTGTTCGTTGTTGCTCGGACATTGGCCGCCTGAACGTCGGTCGGTCGGTTCTGCAGCTTCCGCGAATGCTGGCTGGCTGGCTAGCTGGCAGCATGAATCTCTGGTTCAGCCTACTGCAAAAGGTGGTGGGCAGAAGTCGACAGCGCACAGCGCACTTGTCAGTCTTGTCATAGATCTAGACATTGTCTCACCTGTCGGCAGGCGTGCAAGCTTTGTTGCCTGTGCCAAGACGCTCGAGGACGAGCAAGTTACCTCGCGGGGGCTCGAGGCCGACGCATTGGTTATTGATTGATATGCTAATTGGACCTTCAGCTCGCTAACTACTAATACTGAGTAACTAGTAAAAAGCACTTGACCACGTCCCGACCGCTCGACGGCTAACTGGACGGACCTACCCAAACCAGCTTGGTTCATGTCCCCGCACGGGGCGCCGCCCTCTGGGCCAGGAACACGGAACTTTGGTAAATGGATCGAACTGGACAAGGGTCCCAGCACGAAAATTTGGTGCTGTTGGGTTGACTTGTCTGTTATCGAGACGCTTCGAGTCGGTGTCAGTCAAAAGGACCCGTGGCTGAGACGATACAACATATCGGCAAATCCGCGTGGCTCAGGTCCCTGACCCCGGTTGTCTCTATGCGGCCGCCTAAGTCCTGAAGGCAAGCTGAGAAGCGCATTAACTATTACAGGCCGGCGCGGGGCACCACTTGATCTCGCTCTGTTGGGATGGACACCCCACCAGCATTATCGACGCAAACTAGTTTTGCGAACTCTTCATGGCAATGCGATAGAGTTTCATGCCGTTATCGTCCCGCGAATCGATGCGTCTGCTGGTCGGTTGAAAAATTTATGCCGTGAAAGGCCGGTTCGTCAAAGAAGCAACGACCACCCGACAACCTGCAAGGCTCGGCCAGATCTTTTCTCACCGGCGTCTACCCCGCAGCGCAATGCAATAACATGTCCATCAAGGGAGCATCACTGCATCTGCCCAGTGCATCAGCACGCAGGTCCTTGCCATCTAGTAGCCTCGCGGACCACCGCCGTCGAGCCATTAGGGTCCGTCCTACGAATGCTGCTAGCGACGCCAACTTACCCAATCGAGTAGGTCGGTGCTAGATAGCGTGCGCACTAATTTCACTGGGCTCGAAAACAAAGGGGTCATACAAAAATCTGCTCGACATTGTTGACGGGCCAGGTGCACTAGGTGCAGCCAAGACCCGAACACAGCGCACGGCAGCTCGTGCCATGGCACCCCATGGCACCCCATGGCACCCATATGCAGCTTGCTGCTGCCCCCAAACGCAATCTAGTCGACCTGCCCAGACGGGATGTGTACGCGCCTGCATGGCGCCGCCCAGTGGATCGCAGGACCGCAGCATCCCGTAGGCTTGTCCCCCCGGCCTCTATCGTTGTTGTTGGAGCAAGGGACGGAGGCTGACGAGGGGCTTGGGCTTGGGCTTGGCTGCCGCGATAAATGCGCAGGCCGCCAACCATGGCAACTATATAGCTGACCGTGCGTCCGCCCAGTTCGTGCTCACCACCGAGGCCGTCGTACACTCGTTCTCTCCTAGATCGACTTGGCAACAAGTTCCTGCCTCTCTTTTTTGTCCTAGATTTGTTTACCGCTGCTGTCCACAACCATGGTCAGGACTTCCTCGCTCCTGACGCTCCTGGCTACTGCCGCCACCGCGGTTGCTAGTCAGGAGGTTGACGCCTCCAAGGTCCAGCCCGCCATTCCCGGCGCCTTTATCATCGAGTTTGAAGATGGCCATGTACGTCGGCGGCCCATGTGAGGCGCTGCCAACAAAATGCTGACTGCCATGGCAGAACACCCAGGCTTCCCTGGATGCCGTCAAGAAGGACGCCAGTGTCCGTATCGACCTCAACTTTGAGCTCTTCCAGGGTGTCTCGATCCAGCTCAACGACGTCAACTCGGCCGAAGAAAAGGCGCAGAAGCTGGCCGAGCTGCCCGCCGTCAAGAACATTTGGCCCGTCAGGGTCGTGCCCCGTCCCAATCCCGCCGTCGAGTGGGTGGCCACCGAGGGCCTGCAGGCGCTGGTCCACGCCGACCCCAGCAGCATCAACGCGCGCGACACGGCCGAGCCCATTAGCTCGGCGCAGCGCATGAGCCAGATTGAGAAGATGCGTGCCAAGGGCTACAAGGGCCGCGGCATCAAGATTGCCGTCATCGACACCGGTGTACGTCTGTCTGGTCGATGCTGGCTGATGAAGTCGAGTTGCTGACTGTTTAGATTGATTACAAACATCCCGCTCTCGGCAGATGCTTTGGTGAGGGCTGCCTCGTCAGCTATGGCTACGATCTCGTCGGCGACGCCTACGGAAACGGCAACTACCGCCCCGTGCCCGACAACGACCCCATGGACTGCGGCGGCCACGGCAGCCACGTGGCGGGCATCATTGCCGCCCAGCCCAACGAGTTCAACTTTACCGGCGTGGCGCCCGACGTAACCCTCGGTGCCTACAAGGTCTTTGGCTGCACCGGCAGCACCGGCACCGACGTGCTCATCTCATCGTTTAACAAGGCCTACCAGGCTGGCTCCGACATCATCACGGCATCGATTGGCGGCCCCGCGGGCTGGGTGGACGAGCCCTGGGCCCTGAGCATCTCGCGCATCGTCGCCCGCGGCGTGCCCTGCACCGTCGCCGCCGGCAACGAGGGTGTGGACGGCCTCTTGTTCCCCAGCAGCGGGTCATCCGGCAAGGGCGTCGTGTCGATTGCTTCGTTTGACAACACGGATACGCCTGCCCTCGCCAATGTCAACTCATACACGGTAGACGGTGGCAACAAGACGCAGCTCCTTTCCACCCCGTCGGACAAGGACGCGTGGGACGGCGTGACGCTCGATGTTTGGGCTGGAAGTTACGACACGACAAAGGCCGACGACGGCTGCAAGGCGTACCCTGCCGACACCCCCGACCTGAGCAAGAAGGTTGTGCTCATTCACCGCGGCAGCTGCTCCTTTACCGACAAGATCAACTTTGCCACGGCCAAGGGCGCCAAGTACGTCCTCATCTACAACAACGGGCCCGACGCCCTCACGATGAGTGTTGTTGACACTCCCCTGGCCCAGGGCGCCAGCCTCATCTCGCAAGTCGACGGCGTCAACATTATCAACCTGCTCAAGGATGGCAAGAAGGTCACGGTGACGATGGGTAGCTCGGCCAAGACGGCCAAGGTGTTGTCGTACAAGAAGAACGCGGCGACGGGTGGCGGGCCCAGCGCCTTTACCACCTGGGGTCCCTCGTGGGAGCTCTTTGTCAAGCCCGACGTAGGCGCTGCAGGCGGTAATATTCTCTCGACATACCCCACGGCCAAGGGCTCTTATGCCGTTTTGTCGGGCACTTCGATGGCGACGCCCTTTATCGCCGGCTCGGTGGCGCTGCTCCTCGAGGTGCGCGGTAAGAAGTTGGCTCCTGCGACGATTACCAACCTCTTGTCGGCCAACGCCAAGCCTCAGCTGTTCAACGATAAAACAAAGTTCCTGACCAAGCTGGCGCCGGTGCCGCAGCAGGGTGCGGGTCTTGTCCAAGTGTACGACGCGGCGTTTGCGACGACGCTGTTGGAGCCGTCTAGCCTTTCCTTCAACGATACGGCCAACTTTGTCGAGCAGCTCAGCTTCAAGATCAGCAACACGGGCAAGGAGTCAGTTAGCTACGACCTTGGCCAGGTGTCGGCCTACACCATGTACGCGCTCGGCACGTCGGGTACCCAGGTGCAGGCGTTCCCCAACGACGCCGTCGACGCATACGCCACGCTCAGCTTCAGCGAGGAGAAGCTGACGATTGCGGCGGGCAGCTCGGCCTCTGTGGACGTGACGGTGTCGCCCCCTGAAGGTGTTGCCATTGAGCGGCTGCCGATCTGGTCGGGTTACGTGACCATCAACGGTACGGACGGCACGGCGCTATCGCTGCCGTACCAGGGCGTGTCGGGCTCGCTCAAAGACCACGTGGTGGTGGACGAGACGGGCGCCAGCTGGATCTCGTGGAGCGACGACAAGCTCCTGACGCCGCTGCCGGTCAACCAGACGTTTACGCTGCCGACGCCCGGCCAGGCCTCGGGACAGACGCGGCTCCCGCAGTTTGTCATCAACATGTCGCTGGGGTCCAAGAACATTACGGGGCACCTGCAGCCGATGACGACGTGCCCGCCCAACGGAACGTACGAGTACAAGGGCTACAAGACGGTTGGCCAGCCGTTTACCTTCCCGATGCTGTTTAGCAGCCGCGGCCCGACGACGGATATCTGGGACGGGCAGCTGGCGAATGGCAACTACGCGCCGGCGGGCAAGTACCGCCTGATTGTGCGTGCGCTGCGCGTGTTTGGCGACCCGGACAATGAGGCGGACTGGGACACGTCGATCGGTAACCGCTTCGTCATCAAGTACGCGTAGGGGTGATGTGTCATGTGTGTGTATGTTGTATTTATGAGTGGGCGCACTGCCCGATTATTTAGTGCTGTATATCAAGATTTCAAAGTGAAGATTGTGTGTGTGTGTGTAGGTTGGCAATATTGTGCATGTCGTTTTATGAAGCGGAATAGTGCAGTGAATAGGTTATCTTTCAGAGTGACTGTGGCTGAGTAGAGTGGACATGGACGTGTAGGCAGCAGAATTCCCGACCAACCAGATGAAGCCGTTCAACGTCACTGCGGGGGAGGCGGATTGCCTGCAACAGGCACCAACGTTTCCCATTCATCTCATTTATTCTGCGGCACCCAACAAATTCGCCAGTTTGTCTCTCTGCATCTTCCAAACTATTCAACATCATCTTTTGGATTAAGAGTTTCTTTGCATTTTTCCTTCTGCGCGACGACGAAGCGCCATCTCTCGCGCAAACAACCTCGAGCCGACAAAGAATGGCATAGAGCCGCAGACACTGATAATCGCAGTCTCTTCTGGTCGCCTGCTGTGCGACTGCAGACTATATCGGCTGTGCGACTGCAAAATACGTCTGCCTAGCGAGACGATAAACACCGCAAACCCCCGACACAATCTCAATATATTTCGTTGCCGATTCGAACGAACGCACTATTCACGTACAATCTAGCGCCGACACACACACACACACACACATGGAGGCTCTACTCCCCGCCGGCGGCTTCCAGCTGCCCTTTCAGCGCCGCCTGTCGCGCCTCTACAACGACACCAAGAAATCGAGCGATTTCGTGCAAGCGCCCGTACCCCGCGAGAAGCAGCAAGACCCCGACGCGCCCGGCTTGCACCGCAAGCTGCGCATCCAAAAGGACCGCCTCGTCGGCTGGGGCCTCGCCTGGTCCGACCCAGCCGCCGCCGCCGAGATTGACGAGTCGCTGTCGCGCGCCGGCCTCAGCGAGGTTGTCGCGAGCATCATGTCCACCATCAAGGACATCCTGGCCGAGGCCGAGCAGCTCTGGCTCAGCGGGGCCGCTGCGGGCAGCGCGGATAAAAAGGGCAAGCGGGTGTCGTGGGACCGCGCCCGCTTCGAGGACCTGGTCAATGACTTTACCGCCTCGGTCGACACCCTCTACGACTTGTCCAGGACCCGCGGCGCGGCCATGCGCCGCCTGGCCAAGGGCGGCGGCGGGCTGTACAAGGCCGAGGGACAGCGCGCCTTTGAGCCCACGCGCCTGCAGACCCCGCAGGTCATTGACCCGACCCAGCTGACTGAGATCCTGCCTGCGCGGGACCTGCCAGCGTCCGTGGCCGCACAGCGAGCCGTCGTGCTCATGAGCAAGACGGCGTACGCATCCATGGCCACCGGTCGGACTCACGCCCCGTGGGGCCCGCTGCTGCTCGAGTACGCGCACTTTGACGCCATCTACGCCACGACGGGCATCATGCCGCCGACGGCGCGCTTCGAGCGTCTGTCGGCGGCGCTGCAGCAGGACTCGCAGCGGGCGCCTGGTGCTTGGTCGGGCCTGCCGCGGTTGCTGGGGTACTTTGAGGACGTGGGCAATGCGCGCTTCGGGCTCGTATACCGCCTCCCGGCCCCGTTTGACGCGTCGATTTTGACCAGTTACAAGAAGGGCGCGGCGCACGAGGTGAGCACGCTGCGCGCCATGCTGGCCGACAAGGGCATGGAGCCGCCGCTGGAAGCCAAGTTTCGCCTCGCGTATAATCTGGCGAATACCGTGTTCGATATGCATGCGAGGGGCGTGGCGCATGGGAGGCTGACAGAGGATAACGTGTCGTTTTGTAACCTGGGGGCGACGACCGAAGGCAGTGTGGCGGTGAATGCGGTGGTGGATGTGCGCAGGCCGCTGCTCTCCTCGTTTGAGGTCTTTGCCGACGAGGACAAGACTGATGACGCGGCCCACCACCCGCTCGATCCGCGGTACGCCCCAGACTCGTCGCCGCTGGCCAAGAGCACCGACGAGCGCGTGCTGGAGCTGTACGCCCTGGCCGTGCTACTGCTCTCGGTCGGCCTCTGGACGAGCATGGAAACGCTGCCGCCGCGGGACGGGATCGCGTGGGAGACGGCCATGGCAAGGCTCACGGTCCGGTGCGGCGGCTTGTACGCGAAAGCGGTGCATGCCTGCTGGGAGGCGGTGGACAGGGAGGTGCAGGGCGAGGTGCGCGGGGAGGCCCTGCTGGCGCAGGTGCAGATGCGCGTCAGCCGCTTCCTGGAGACGTGCTGCATCTTGGATGGCGTGAGTGGCTTGGAGGAGAGGCTGGCGGAGGATATCGAGGACGAGGCGGCGGATCATGTCCAGTCGGCTGTGGCTGTGCAGAAAGCACCTCCGCCACAGCCGGTAGACTCGGCGGACAACTTGGTGAGCGGCGGCCATGAAGAAACGACGTCGCAGATACAGTCTACACCCCCAAAACCTGCCGCCAAGGAACCAAAGGCCAAGCTGTACACGCAGGTGCCGCTGCCCGCCGAGGCCATCGAGCAGTGGAACACGATCCTCATGCCGCAAATCAACCAGGCGCTGCGCCACTTTTACCGCAAACACCCGGAGTCGGTCGAGATCTCGCTCGAGTCCATTGGCCTGACGCCGCAGCAGACGGAACCGACTGTGCTCGTCGTTTGCTCCTCGGTCGGCAAGGTGCGCGCCATTCTGCAGAAGCGCGTCGGCGCCCTGTTTGATGGCTCGACGGGGTTCGCGCTCAAGGTGTGCCGCGGGCACGTGCTGCGGTCCCGTCGCCGCCCTGTGGCCACCGAGGAGGAAGAGGCGGTGGAGGCGGTCAACCCAAAGTACCAGGAACGGCCGGGCCATGGGGCGAGTATAGGGGCGTGGATTGGGGATCGGCATCTGCCGCCGGTTAGCTTCGGGGGGGTGGTGGTGGTGGATGGCACGACGTATGGCATGACTGTGCATCACATGCTGGACGACCCGGATCGGGACTTTAGCGGCCAGGAGACGCAGAGGAGTGCGGCGTTACCGCTAAGATCGCTGTTAGACAGCGTAGAGGATGATGACGAGGATGACGAGGGGGCAGAGGAGGAGGATGGGTATGAGCTGTCGGACACGGAATCGGAAGCGTACTCGGACACGGATATCACGAGCGAGTACGATGACAGCGAGGACGAGGAGGAGGAGGAACCGGGTGACATTCCGGGTATTGAACCGGGATGTGGCGACGGCTACATGGTGACGCAGCCGGCGCTGGACGACGTCGAGGAGGGCTTCTACCCGTGCGCAGAAACCGAAGACGAGGACCACCTCGACACATTCAGCCTCGGCCCGGTGTACGCCTCCAGCGGCATCCGGCGGCGGCGCGACAACGGCCTGGTGCACGAAGTC